AATGTTGCATTAACAACACTGATTTCGATGAAATAATCACTTGTAAATATAGTGCAATAAACCTGGTTCAACAAAAATTGATATTTGTAGAAATGTAGTGTCGACCTTTGCTGAAAAGTATCAAAATCATAAGACTTTTGATTAAACAATTTTTTGCCAAACAGTAGGTCATAATGCGACCTATTTCTAGTTGCACGATTATCCTTCAATTTCCAGACAGCCTGTATACAGGGTGTCCGCAAAGTTGGGGTTTTCCTTTACACGACGTGTAGTTCTTGAAAACATAAGCAATTTTTCTTAGTACCATATACACCAATGTCTTAAGGGAACCGAGATAAAGAGCTCTGCAACATCAAAAATATCTGAATACCGTCCTGTAGCCGCGACATCCCCGAGTGGTACAAGGTCACTGGCTCAACCCGACGACAGAACTGGGTCGGGGTCAGTGTGTCAGGTCAGTATGCAACCTTCAACCGACGGTTAAGGTCACGCGTGTAGAGGTAATCGCGTAGACGGGAATCCCTCAACAAGCACTAGACACGTGGCTAGAGAAGTGCAAGTATCAAAAACTAAAGTGTGGCAAACTCTGCGTGAAGAGGGGCTGTATCCGTTTCACGTCCAACGTGTACAAGCCCTTCAACCTGACGATTTTCCAGCAAGAGTGCGGTTTTGTGAGTGGTTGTTGCATCAACATGACAATAATCCGGACTTTTTGAAGTGCATATTGGTGCCAGACGAATCTACGTTCACGCCTAATGGGGTGAATAACTTTCGCAACACTCATGTTTGGTCAGTAGAAAATCCGCACGCTGTCCGTCTGGCACATTTTCAACAAACATTTTCGGTGAATGTTTGGGCTGGCATGGTGAACGGTATGCTCATTGGACCATTTATTCTCCCAAATCGATTGGACGGGATGCAATACCTAGATTTTTACGCAACATTTTGCCTTCCTTGTTTGCCTGCGTCTGCTCGGTAGCGCATCAGCTGATTTTATTTTCTGTTGGAGCGGTATGATTTCGGGCAGATACGTACTTAGCCCTTCTCGTCAACTGGAGAGTGAGTACTTTTTCCTTTATTTTTTTTTACTTGGTCGCCCTCGTTTCATTACACATTACCTTTGTTATTTCAAGGGTAGTTGTTTCTGAAAAGGAAAACCCCAACTTTGCGGACACCCTGTATATTGATTGCCTACGATCAAAAACGAGCGACAGCAGGTTATCCAAGCTGGCACCACTATCCATTGAATCACAGCATGCATTAAATATGAGCTTAACTAATTTAATGAACCGATTTGCTTTCGTGAATGCACGAAAAGACAATTTTGGTTCTTTTTCAACTGAATTTTAGAATGTTTTATTTTGAAAATGTTACTTTATGTTTCATTTTAATAGTCTTACCTTCTGCCAGAACATTATTTTTATTGAAAAAAAAAAAAATGTTTTTGACCGTGATTTCACAAGAAAGTTATCCTATTTGTTTTTTTTTTTACTGAAATATCTTATTGTATTCTAAGCGCGGTTGATGTTGAGGAATCTACATTACAAATTGGCACTATATTTCTGATCTTTCTACAAAGTAAGAAGGTTGACTGGTGGTATTGATTCTTATTAGAAGCATAGTGGTGCAGCATTCTTTTTCGTATGCTTTCAGGCAGTGATAACCTCCAAGCCTTGCGTCAGAGAGGCAGTCAGTGCCAGTCTTTTTCTATCCAATAATATAGTACATACGAAATGTAACTATTTAGATCAGTTTGTCCTAAATATTTGAAATTCTTCGTTTTCACGCATGGGCACCTGCGGAAATTTTTCTCAGGGAGGGCTGATGACTTGCCCCCCAAAACTTTTTGAAAAGCGGGTATCCAGCAACTAGAATTTTACGTATTTTTAGACAGTGTTTCAAATGGCTCTGATACGTAAAATTCCACGGAAATGGGCACGAGAGTTTTGCGCACATTGACGACAAAATGTAATTAATGCTTTTTGTGTCATAGATAATAGGGGGTTCATGGGAATATAGTACGGTGTCGGCGTTACCTTCCATAGGCGGTCCTGTGATCCTGTACAGGATGGCCTCAAAATGTGAATTGTGCATTTGCATAAATTTCATAGGATTACGTTACGTGTAACTTTTACACCGCAAGTATTGTTATTATGGTAGAGATGGGTGGGTGGATGTATGCTGTATTGAACTCTCAAACATTTGTTTAGAGAGACAGATATAGGCATTATGTAGATTCATCTCAAAGTATAACCTATTTATTTCTTTACCAACGGGCAGCTGTGGCCTCATCTCTGCCAGGTTCCGAGGGCAGCTTTGCTTTTCTTGTGAAAATTATGTAACAAAACATTTTCTCCGCATATTTGGTACTAGCGGAATGTAAATACCACAAATAGCTTCCTGATAATGTTGACCTTTGATCGCAGATGCTTTGAAACAAATGCCGACAGCATGTGGGTTAGACGCGATCCAGTTGGAATCTTCATTATTAATATTTTGAGGGGCAAAAAATGCTGCGGCACCTAACCTCAAATATCCGTGTGCTCTATGATGGGACCTAGTAGCAAGCGGCATGCATAAGCGGAGTTATTTTGCGTTTGCTCGACTACTTACTAGGTATGACACTGGTCGTCTGCCCCATATTCTCAAAATATGTTGGAGATTCGATGGAGAGCACCCACGATTTTATTTATATTTATATCGCATTGTTACGGGTTGATATATCACTAATTGAACATATAGTCAATACGATTTGCCTAGGAACTCGCGACGAAATATTGCACTTAAGCTGAATTGTAGCAGAAATGTTATCAACAAAATTATTTACTTTTGAACAATAACATTTCAATTTGACAAGTCGATGGTAGAGAACACAGAATAATTATTTTTTCGATTCGTCATTCTCAGTCACAGTTCCACGCTTTTGCGCCATCTGTTACTAGTAGATTGAAATTTCACAAATCGCTGTAGCGGCGTTTGTGGTATTCTTTGCCTAGTTCATCAAGATCCTCTATAGATGTCAGCACGGTCAAATGTTATCGGTGGCGCCATCTCTTGATTATAATTGATAGGCGAGTGTGAAGTTGCAGTTACCATTCATGGACGGCAGAACAATCTGAATTGCTACGAAGGGATGACCAGAAATTCTGCATGATCTATTACGAGGGAGCTATGAAAAATTTTGTTCACATTGATACGAGCTTACTATAACAAACGTTTCAGTCACAAAGGTGATCAGTGGCCAGAGAAGATGGAGATTAATTAGCAAGACAATCAAAGGGAACGTTTCTGATATTATATCACTGTAGATACTTAAAATGTTCACAACTTTATGAAAAAATACGTTTTCCATAAAAACATATTTTTTTCAGTGCATTTTTGCTTCCTTTTTTATTTAACTTTAGCAGCAATTGTGAAAAATGTCAAATATTTTACGATGAACATGAATAACCTCAGTCAACCGCAACATCTACACAAAAACTATATCTGGCCATGTTCTATCCAGTGAGAAAGTTCACATTTCAAATATGAATTACGCGCCAACACGCGAGAAAGTGGAGAGAGGTCTTGATCGACGCGTTAGTCGTGTGGGTTAAATGGTTACAATGGAACGTTGGACCGAAGCGCAACGTGCTTTTGCTGACGAGGTTTACTTTAAGAGCGGTGATTCATATGCAGCTGCCCTTCGGAAATTTTTGTACACGATACTACATTCGCCGACCAAGAGATGCCTCACGTAAGAACCTATTGAAAAAGTGGATTAAGAAATAAATTAAGCTCTACTCTTAGTCAATCCATTCCTGGCCCCACACCTACCATATCAACCGAAAAAAATGTGCGTCGAGTAAGTGATTCGGTCATTGCAAATCCTCGGCGTTCTGTACGGAAGCATTCGGCTTCTTTGGGAATTCCTAGGTCAACACTGCAGGGCATAATGAAGAAAAAAAATGGGTTTTCATCCTCATAAAATCCAATCAGTCCATGCTTCAAAGGAAAGTGATTACGTATTACGGAAATCTTGTTGCGAACGGATGATAAATCTTTTTCTCACGCAGCGCAGATTCGATAACGTTGCTTTCAGTGACGAGCTCCATTTTCACTTAGACTGTTATGTGAACAAGCAAAATTGCAGATATTGGGCACCACCGACCCCAAAAGAGAAACATCAACAACAGCTACATAGTCCAAAGGTGACTGTTTGGTGCGCCATATCCTCTAGCGGTGTTATTGGAGCGTATTTCTTTGAAAATGAAAACGGTCATGCATTAACAATCAATTCCCAGCGATACAAGGACATGATTAACACTTTTTTCTGCTCCTATTGTAAGAACAGAACGTCGATTTAACAAAATATATTGTTCAACAGGATGGGGCCACTGCCCATACATTAAGAGAATCGATGACCGCGGAGAAAGCACTTTTTCCTCAAAAAGTTATATCGAAGTTTGGAGACATTGACTGGCCTCCTAGGTCACCCGACCTCACGCCATGCGATTATTTTTTGTGGGGTTATCTAAAGTCAAAAATGTATTCCAATAATCCATGAACACTGGAGGAACTTAAAGACAACATTCGACGAGAAATAAACAACATCACTCCGGACCCTGCAAGAGAATGTTTCAGAATTTGCGCGTGCGATTAGAAGAATGTGTCCGGAAGGATGGCAAACATTTGGACGGAATGATATTTAAAGAAATAAATTAAATTTATGAAAATGTTGATAGTAATAAATATTTTCTTGTCATTAAGTTGGTATTTTTTTCTTAAATCAAAAAGTGAATTTTCCCACGGGACTATATTACATTCAAATAGCACTGCTACGTTATTAGATACTACATTTTATTGAGTCAACACTATCGAACTTTTGAGCAACATTCATGGTACCTTGTTTGCAATTCCTCCATAAAAACCTTGTAAAACGTTCGCCGTCATGTGCAAGGCGTGAATAAAAACGACACTGATTTACGATAAAATTGATATATTTTTATACACAAGTTTGGATATAAATTACAATTAGGCATAAATTAATGGATTGATCTGTGTCTAAAAAGGCCGTTTTCTCTATTATTTCGCATAGAAATCATACCAATATACCTAAATACAACGGATAACGTTTGACTTAGAACTAAATATATAATTTACAACTTTCAGATCGAAAATTTATTCTTACACTCGAAAACATCAGTTGGAAAAAAATGGGAGAAGCGCGCTAATTTGAAGAAAAACCCAATCTTACAGAGTATAAGAATGCATTTCTATAAACCTTAATCCTAAAAGTATGCAAAACAATTCAAATATTTGAGAGAATGCTAAAATGGTAACGACATAAATAACGAAATTTGTATATCTACAGAAGTTCCAAAGGTATCAGATGTATTCCAGTATTTGTTACGATACTGTCGCTAGACACTATAGAGTTCAGAAAATGTTATTTCTCATTTTCATTTGGTTTTTTAATTTTCTGTTCAGTCGTACCTGTGTAAAACTGAAATTTGGAATTTTCTAACTTTTCGAACGAATTTTTGATATATTTAAATGCAGTCTTACTTCATTTCCACTCAAAGTGTTTTTTTATTGTTTAATATAAAGCTATCAATTCTGAAACCTTTAGATGCCTCGTCTTATACGTATATTATGAGTATGGATCCTTATCTTGCTCAATTAAAAAGTAGAGTATATTCTAATTGCCTTGCATACATATATACAATTATAAAATGCTCCTTTTTTATTCTATTCTTAGAGTATATTGATGTTAATAGTTCATAAATAAAAATTCTTTTATGGAAACATTAATACTGAGTGGTCTTGAAAAAGCCCATCACATGGATTTATGGAAAAAATTATCTGTGAAATTCATGAAACAAAAATGAGATCTTAGTTTAATTCAGTAAACATTTCAATCTTGAATAACTCTAAGATAGTATGCAAAGATAAATAGGTATAGTTTTGTGGAATATCTGCGTCGCTGAATTGAAGTATTTACAAAGTGTTCCATTACTATCAGGCAGACAAGCTGTTAAAATGGGAAGATATGATGGACTTTTTCATTACAGACCGCTTGAAGTGGCACAGCTTCAGACAACCGAAATATCAATAACTACTGCAAAACTTGATCTCCATTTATTTAAAAGGTTAACCAGAAATCTTGAGTCTTCAAGCTAGGAGTTTAAGGTTTCACGTCCCTTTTTTAGATTATTTTTTTTCATCTACCTGAATGCAGTAGTATTCTAAATCCTTTTCATCTGATAATTTCATGGTGTGTATAGGGATGACTAAAAACAATGTTTTTATCTTTTTGTCAAAAAATGCATTTTTCGTAAAATTTATTGTGCATTTTTTCTTCAGTCGGAACTTACAACAAATATAAGTACTGCTCTGAAGTTTTGTGTGAATATTCCTCTTTTATGGAAGAATGGAACAAGTGATTACTTTTGTTTTTATCCCTTTTATTTTTCGATTTTTTTTTGGAGCCTCGTCTCGCAGCAAGTAGAGTTTATAAGAAATGCAAAAATTTTTCGAAGAGAAAAAGTGATAAGAATAAAAGTAATCACTTGTTTCATTCATCTATAACAGTGGAATATTCACATACAATTTTACAGCTGTACTAATATTTGTTAACAAGTTACGATCGAAGAAAGAATCCACAATAAAATGCACAAAAATGCATTTTATGACAAAACAAAATTAATACGATATTTTTAGTCATCTCTATACACGTCATGAAGTAATCAGATGAAAAGGATTTAGAATATTTGCAAACAGGTAGTTGAAAAAAAGCGAACAAAAAAGAGACGTACGGCCTTAAGCTGTGCAATACTTTAGTTAAAAATGAGCGGTTCTTCAATTTATTATATCCAAGGCATACTCACATAGGTTTTTTAAATCTGGTTTTCAGTGTTGATGACATTATGTTGAGCTGAAGCTGAACAAATTATTGTGTCTCACACAATAAAACTAACATTACACATTTTTTAACGTTGCATTGAAAGTTCTTGGGGGTATCAAACGCCACTAATCACAATTCTAACATTCAATTATATTCTCGGTGTTGTTTCATTTATGTCTGTTTCAGCACATTAAACATCTATTTTTCTGTCATAATAGTGGTAATATTTCGGGAATTATTTCCGGCATATATATGTTTGCTTACAAGTTGTATGAGTACCTCAAAAATGTCTACTGGTCAACACAAAAGAACTCAAAAAATGGCATTAACATTTTCAAACTTTCGCTAAAATAAACCTTTTTGAAATACTCTGTACAAAATCGCGTCACCTCAATTCGTTGTAATGATCAACTTAACGAGTCAGAAAACGAAAAAGCGCATAAGTCAGAGGGTAGGGATGCATAAGGGTATATTTTTCGTTCCACATTAATTGGATAATCAATCAACGCTACTAGTCAGTATAGTCAAATTTCAACAACTATAGCACATTTTCTTGGAGCTCTCATATATTTTGATAATTATTGGACATTTTTCAAATGTGGAAACGAACTACATATCCCAATTCTACTTTACACGTACACGTTGGTTCCAGCTTAGTTGTTAAAAATAAGTGCTTGTACTGGACAATTTTTCTTCCCCTTAGCTTTTGATAGTTAGTTTTCTTTGACTCCTTTGTATACTTTTTTAAGCAGATATATGATATGTATTTATGGTTTGAAAGTGGATCTGTATGTTATTCTCGTAGATAAACATTAATCACATTTTTATAGAGGAAGAAAATGTGTCCAGGGAAAAGACCAATAGTATACAAATATATGTTTTTCTTAGACAGTCTAAGCATGCAAGTCTTACAGCTTGTGTGAGTTGTGTATATAAATATTTATTGTGTATCTTTAATGGTTGCAATGGGTTCTAAAGCCATCAAATTCAGCAATATCACTTTTCAGCATTATTTGTCAATTCGATCGAAACATTTTGTGTGCCAAGATGGTTTATGGCAATGAAATTTTGCACTAAGTTTTCATTCGATTCATTTTTCATCGACTTGATGGATGCATTCAAGGAGTTAAAACGCTTAGTGTCAGTGTCTTTTTGACACAAATAGCCGCAGGAATAAGGCAAAGCTTTGTCGTTTTCTTAATGCGTCCAATAATTGCTTTCGTCATGTTTTTTTCTTGTTAGCTGTATTCTATTTTATTCAATTTAAAACCCATCGCAACCGCAGGGGATCGGCAGATCTCACTACGCCCTAAACCTTAAGAACACGTATCCCTAGTGAACACTTGCGAATATCTTCATCCCTACGTACTGACTTCGTTACCACCATTGCATTTGTTCAACGTGCACGTGCATTCGTTGCTTGATATACAGCACGGCCAAGTATACGAACGAAGTGATGGTCACAAAGTACAGGAACGCTGATAGAATGCAACCTGAATCGTGCTGGTCGGGTCGATCTTTCAGATGCCTGGAAATAGTAATATTTTGTTAGACACAGCAGATTTAGGATTTCAACATTTAAATGTGTGACATTTTTTTTAATTCTTGAAATTCTACGTCTGTCATGGGACAGAATGATATTTAACAGTTCCCAGAAAATATTCAACTATACAGGGTGTCCGCAAAGTTGGGGTTTTCCTTTACACGACGTTTAGATTTTGAGATAATAAGCGGAGTTTCTTAGTAGCATATACACCAATGTTTTAAGAGAACCGAGATATTGCCGGTCCTGTCCTATCTCTCGATCACGTCCACAGCGCCAGCGCCAGCGTAGAGTTATACGATGTAAATAAGCTAGTATGCAACCTAACCTAGACGTCGGTACTGTTGGTCAACAAACCATTACATTGGTAATCGATTGCTGCTCAAAAAATAAAAAAGGCACACTCATACGCCAATAGCGAACTATTCGACATGCTGTTAATTTACGGTGAGTGTCTTCAAAATGTGACCGAGGCTTCGCGAGTGTCTGCAGATCGTTTTCCCAGACGTCATCATCCAAGGCCCCGTAGATTTGTTTTACCTTGTGCAGAGACTCAGGGATACGGGTCGTTTGGAGGAATGTCGAGGTGAGTTCTTAAATGAATCATTTCCGAATAGGTGGATCGGACGTAATGGACCCGTAGCATGGCCTCCGCGATCTCCAGACTTGACAGGGTGTGATTTTTTTCCTTATGGCGAGATGAAACGCTTGGTATATAAAATTGAGGTGCACACGGTTGATGAATTACGTATGATAATTGAGCCAGCTGCTGCATTCATTCGGGGAAATACGTTAACCAAGAAAGAGTGACACCGACGACATATTTTCGATCTCTTTTTTGTTATTTTTGTTACATTTGCTTCTCGGATTTTACGACAGAGCCGTACTTGGAATTTCAATTCAACTGAACAGTGAGTACTTTCTGATTTACACCCCCTATAAAAACAATGAATATATGAGATTAATTCAAATTGAAACAATAATATTTACCTAGCTTGTGACGGCTGTTTTGCTTCAATTTTGGTGTCATAGCTCTGGACGATCAGCCCATCGTAGTTGGCAGGTGCATCCATTTGATTAGAGTCCTTTTCGTTTTCATAGTAGAAAGCCAATTTGTAAGGTTGGCTTGGTACTGGTTCGTGATATAGGTTGAGCGAATTATCACTGAAAAGAAAAGTGTTGACGTTTACCTTGCTGTTAAAAATAATGCGATATGAAAAAATGCATGTCATTGAAAAACTGTTTTTAACACGCTTATATTAGCTTGGCCTGTATGTATGCATGTCACGGAATCTTTGAGCATAATTTTCACCAATTTCCAGAAGCTCACCTGAGTCGTTGGGTGATGGGTGCGTGTACCGGTGGTTCGATATGATCGAACAAATTGCTACCACTACTACTACTAGTGTACGGATGAAATTGGTCTGGAACGTTGAGAGTGCTTTGCAGAGGTGCGGCGACGGTTTCGAAGAGTTTTCCTTGTGTCTGCGGCACCCCGTCAGAATTGTGATTAGCGGCGTATGTCAGTCAGTAGCATTTCTTCGTGCACGCGCACTTGCGCACGATGTCCACGTCCTTCGTGAACCGCGTGCCGTCGGGACATATCAAGCGGACCTGCTTCAACAGAAAAAAAAACAAAGTCAATCCCTAGTTCCTAGATCTTCAAAGCTGCATTTTCAACGTACACCGTCCTAAAGTGGCACAGGGACCACATGATAAGTTGCAGCAGCTCAAACTTTAATGGATGCGAGTATCGCTTTTGCCTTTTTAAATATCATCTCGCATGTTTAAGTATCTCAAAATTATTAAAATGGAAATATTAAATAGGCTACCTGACTCATATTTAATTTCATATAATAAATAAATAAATTTCTTACAGTATCTGGCATAGGAAAATGAGATATATCGAGTTGTATTTTAAAAGCGCAAGATGGATTTACGAGGAGGTACTCAAAAATAACCGAAATAGCATTGCAGTGGGCGGAGCTTGTGTAGTACACATTTCTGCCGCCCAGAGGCGTACACCGCAACTCATTACCGGTTCAGTGCCACCTGAGTTGTCGATCTGGCTTGTTTCGTTCCTCTGTAGTCATTATTTTTGCTAGAACTGTTTGGTGCTTTTTTCGTTTTTTACGATGGCAAGCTTCAGTGAGCAACGTGCAGTTGTGAAATTTGTAAAAATGCTGCTGAAACTGTTTTAATGTTGAAAATAGCTTGCAAAGATGATGCTATCGGAAAAACTCAGGTGTACGAGTGGCTTGCTCGATTTTAAAATGGCGACATGTCGATTGATGACAAACCTCGCTCTGGACGTCCATCAACTGCCCGAATCGACGAAAATGTTGAAACAATTCGAGAGCTTGTGCTATTTGGAGGTTTTAAGACGATTGCGAAACAGTGTTCGGCAAAAAAGACGAGTGAGCAGCTGTCACACATTTCTAAGGAAGACTTCAAAAAATGTTTCGAGCAATGGAAGCACCGGTGGACAAGTGTATTAGTTGTAGTGTACACTACTTTGAAGGAGATGAGGTTACTTTGTGAAAAAGTGGAAAATAAATAACTTTTTAAATAATTCCGGTTTTTTTTGGTATCCGCTCGCATAAGTCCAACTTAAAAAAAATATTTTTTTTTTGATAGAAAATTCTACCGGCTATGATGTGACGTCATACAAATTGAAAGAAAAAAACTTCATCCGTATGTCACTCGTGGACTAACGCTGTCTTCTGTAGATGTTTCTAAAAGACTCATAATCAACGTAAATAGTTATTGTTTATTCGTTCTATTGAAAAAAAACACAATCATGGGCGTTGGATTCGCAAATTTGTCGAAAATTGGTGGATTGACAATTGGTGGTTGTTAATTTTTTGCCTTCAATCAAGATTTCCGTTCTGCTGAGTTGAAGAACATCAAGACTTCTAAGATCAGTGCATCTGATATAATGATAGACGTAAAAAGGAAGAAAAAGTAATATACAGGGTGTTCATTTGACAACTTCCCATCACAATTTACAGAAGAGAACCTTACTCCACGAGAGTCATACGGATGAAGTTTCTTTGTTTACGATCCTAATGACGTCACATTATGGCCGATTGTGTTTGCTATTAAAAATAAAAAATATATTTGTTAAGTTGGACTTATACAAGGTGTTCATTTGAAAACGTCCTACCACGGATTCATCGAAAACCACTGATTAAAAGAAAAAACGCCGAGACACGTTAAAAGATTTGACAAGGGGGACAACTTTTTAAACAAAAACTACCTCACCCTCTTTCACCCTCGGCCCCCCAGGGTCATTCCTTTAAAAAATTTAAATGACTAGGGATATCGAGTAATAGCTTGTTTGAAATGTTTTTCGGAGTCCTTTATTTTGAGTTTGATTTTTTTAAATCAGTCGATTCGTTTTCGAGAAAATTAGACTTAGGTACAGTGTGCCTAAATTGCTGTTTATGTTGGTAGTTTCCGTTTTAAATTATAAACGAATTGTAGATTTGGCAAACCCTAACGGGCAACATTTTGAACACTTATTGAAATAAGAAGGAATATTTTCGTGTTTTTGTTTTCTATCTGAACAAATTAAGATAAATAAAGATCTAATCTTTCGACGTGTCTCGGCGTTTTTTCTCTTAATCAGTTGTTTTCGATGAATAAGTGGTGAGAAGTTTTCAAATGAACACCCTGTATAAGTCCAACTTAAAAAGTATATTTTTAATTTTTAATAGCAAACACAATCGGCCATAATGTGACGTCATTAAGATCGTAAACAAAGAAACTTCCTCCGTATGACACTCATGGACTGACGTTGTCTTCTGTAGATATTTCTGAAAGACCCTTAATCAACGTAAATAGTTATGGTTTTTTTTCGATTTATTGGAAAAACAATCATGGAGGAAAGTACAAATTTGCCGAGAATTTGTGGATTGAGAATTGATGGTTGGTAAATTTTTTGCCTTCAACCAAGATTTCTGCTCTGCTGAGCTGAAGAACATCAAGATTCTAAGAGCAGCGCATCTGATATAATGATAGACATAAAAAGAAAGAAAAAGTAATATTCATTTGAAAATTGTTACCACGGATTCATCGAAAACCACTTATTAAACGAAAAAACGCCGAGACACGTCAAAAGACATGTCAAGGGGGATAACTTTTTAACCAAAAACTACCTCACCCTCTCTCACCCTCGGCCCCCGAGAGTCATTCCTATAAAAAACTTAAATGACAAGGGATATCGAGTAATAGCTTGTTCGAAAGGTCTTTCGAAGTCCTTTATCTGGACTTTGATTTTGTAAAATCAGGCGATTCGTTTTCGAGAAAATTAGATTTAGGTACAGTCCGCCTAAATTGCTGTTTATGTTGGTAGTTTCCGTTTTAAATTATAAACGAATTGTAGATTTGGCAAACCCTAACGGGCAACATTTTGAACACTTATTGAAATAACCAATGATGTTTTCGTGTGTTTTTGTTTTCTATCTGAACAAATTAAGATAAATAAAGATCTAATCTTTTGACGTGTCTCGGCGTTTTTTCTCTTAATCAGTTGTTTTCGATGAATCCGTGGTGGGAAAATTTCAAATGAACACCCTGTATAAGTTCAACTTAAAAAATATATTTTTTATTTTTAATAGCAAACACAATCGGCCATAGTTATTATTTTTTCGTTTTATTGAAGAAATTGGTGGGTTGAGAATTAATGGTTGATATTTTCTTTGCCTTCAATCAACATTTCTGCTATGCTGAGCTTAATAACATTTTATATACTGATAGACATGAAAAGAAAGAAAAAGTAATATATAGTATGTCCTGAACTTAACGGATGCTCCAAGCAAGATATAGTGTTGCGTATATTTATTTCCCTGGACAATCTAATCCTCAGCTGGGGTCATTATGTATGTGTTTTTATATTCTTGGACGATACAATAACGATAATTACTATATTTTTCATCTATTCTAGTAGAAGTCATGTTTATATGTTTACAAATTGTATGACGTCAGAGCACATTATATGAGCCAAACATGGCGGACAGTGTTTTTGACTGTTTAAAGAGAATATATTTTTAAATTAATGTTTTATGGTCTTTTAAGACTTAATAAACTCATTATCTTTTTTTTTGGTCTAATAGAAGAAATATTAACTATTTAAAACCTGCTTAAAAATAGCCTATTAAAATCTTATTGCAATAACATGTTTGTTTGAATAATTTTTGACTGAAGGAAGTATAGCGTTCCGTAGTTAAGTTGAATAATAATTAAAAATCGCTCATACCTTTCTCCGCTTGGTCTTCCTTGCATGGCAGCAACTTGATCCGCAGGTTCCGATACATTTAGCCATCTTCAAAGGTTTTCTTGAATGGCATCCATTTTCCGAGTAGTATTCTCGGATTTGCTCTTTCCTGCACGTTGGAGCTGAAAAAAAAAACATATTGTTGACTGAAATGCATTCTCATCACTTATGTTTTCAAACGTAAGCAGAAGAAAAAAAATATTAACATATGCATTTAAGATGGATTGCTATATAAAACAAGTCAAACGCTTGAGTTAAAACTAAAATATTGCATTAATAATTAGTCTAATAATATTAGACGAAAATACCCCTGGTTTGAGAAATAATTGTAAAGTCTGGTTCTATTGCTGCAGGTTGTTCAAGGGGGTATTCAAAACATGGACGCATAAAATGGGTACGCCACTTTTTGTGAGAAAACCTTTTATTCGTCAACAAAGAATGAGAAAACGTGTTTTTTGGGATTCAATCGAAAGTGTTGACAGGAACGACAAAACTCTTCATATAAGATTCTTAGGTATTTTAGAGACCTACAAAATGAGACAACACGAAAAAAGATCTCACTAATAATAAAGAAGTTATGGCCAAACTGCAGGTTTTGGCACTTGTTGGTAATGCGACGATAGTTTCTCGCAGATGGTAGAAATTCTTCAAATCCGTAGGATTCGTACTTCTAAATAACCACAATAAAATTGGAGTATATTGGTCAATTTGATATTGTTGTTATTTAGAACTATGAATCCTACGGCTTTGACGAATTTCAAGTAGTTGCGTGAAATAATCATCGCATTATCAACAAGTCCAAAACCTGCATTTTGCCTTTTTTCGGCCATAACATTTTTGCTACAAGTCGGATCTTTTTTACATGTGGTCTCATTTTGCAGTTCTACGGCAACAGTTAGAGAGATATTTAAAAAGCAAAACTAAAATAAAAAATCTCCAACATGCTCCAGATATAAGGTGAAATATTACTTACACTCATCGTCAGGTCTCTCGCAGTATTTGCCTTTATATCCCGGCCTACACTTACAGATGTATTCATCGTTGACAGTTGGTACACATTTGCTATCGTGCTTGCAGCGGTTATCTTGACAAGGATCTGGCGGTGCAGGAGGCTCGCCTGAAAATTCAATTATCAATATTTACAAATTTAGTTCAGATTTTATAAATCCTATGTGTGTTTCTTGGATGAAAAGGCACAAAATGGATGACAGTCAAAATGACTGTCTATAATGTCCGGCGCAAGTTGAGATGCACATCCGTGAAGTGACATGAATCACATCATATTAGGCTCGGAAAGGGGTCAATCACCTTGACAGGTTGAAGATTGTACATAAAACCGCAAACATCATCTCGACAACCGCTCAGTGACGAAACATCCGAATTTGTCTCCCAATTCGAATCTCCATAACCCAAGTCATGATACTTCACTTTAGGGACCTAAATCTCAGCTTACATCCGACCTAAAGGTGGCTACAAACACAACTGCAAGCTTGTCCAGCATGCTTATTCAATCTTTTTGTACAAGTATGCACAATTTGCTTTTGGCGCCACACGTACAAGCATGCTTGATAAAAATAGAGGTAGTTTAATTAAATATGTCGAACTTCGACGGCGATTCGCTCGCTTTGGCCGCTTTTGTTCTTGTGAAGAAAAGAAAATCCCGATTAAAAAACCGTGCGGTGTGGTGTAAAGAATGGTTGATAAAAGGGAAAACCTATTCTCACATTTACTTACTAAGTGAGCTGAAAATATATCCACGTGACTGGCACAATTATCTTAGAATGGATGAAGAGATGTATTAAAACCTTGTCTCTTGTATCACCTTTGATTCAAAAGCAGGATACGATCATCAACGGACCCCAACTTGTGCATGCTTGAAAATCTTGGGTACACACGTACTGTTTTGCTTGCGCAAGCGCGCCTAATTCAAGCATGCATAATTAAAATCAATTCAATCCTCAAGCTGCTTGTACAATTACAAAGCTTGCACCACATTTCCCTACAGACATTCAAGCGAGCTTGTACAAAAACATTGAACAAGCATGCTGGACAAGCTTGTAGTTGTGTCTGTAGAAACCTTAAAGGATATCCAGCTCACACGCAATTGCTTTTTGCTTGTTCTTTCGTAAAGACATACAATTCATATTTTCATAAGTAATATCATCATCATATCTACCCCGATATCACGAAATATTCATTAAACATCTATTTAATATTCAATAATATTTTTATCTTTCCTACTTAAATATTTGGAATATAATATTTTTATTAAATATTTATTCAATATCTTTTAAATACAATATTTATTTTATAATATTCATTAAATACTTTTCAATCAATGGAAAATATTAAATAATGTCCGTGTGAGCCCAAGCATCCAATAGCATAATGACAAGCCGACCTTAGCCGACCCGTTCGCCGGCATCCTTTTTGCCTGTGAGTTTCACTATGTATAAAGTTATTTACAAGACCATAAGTAACTAGCCTTGAAGTGTAACAGTTATTTGCGATTTGAGATTGGAGGATTTATCTGAAAATGGATACGAAAATTAAATTCAAAAACGCTAGTATCTAAATTATTATTTCAGCTGTAACTATTTTAAATTTTTTAAGCTCAACAGTGACGTTCCAAAATTTTAACAGTCGAAAATACTATATTTTTGTGCCTTGAATTATAATATAAAATCACAAAATAGCCCCCCCCACTACTGCAATAAACTCACATTTCAACAGAATCAATAAGTGGTCTATTTTTAAAAACCTTTTCTTTGAAAGTTACTCAAAGATCAAGTTGTGCCCATGGATATTTTTCATCAAGATATCAAAAATAACCTACCAGATTTTCTTAAAAATTAAGCAAATCTCGAACTCTCATAGGAAGAAAATGTGGGTTCCTTTTAGGTACATTATATAACTGCTTTTGAGTGACCCAGTTGAACTACCCGGAGTAACCCAGCAGTGCTCAGCACCAATATTGTTTCACTGCATTTTATATTCCCGTAAATACCTTTTCTAGAGTAGTTTGGGAGAATATCTCTCTCAAACAAAAGACCACTGGAAAGCAGCTTATGTATTCAATAATACTTCTTTCTTAGTAAGTTTGTTTTTTCCAGAGGAGTGGATTTGCAAGATGCAGAAGTGGCTTAGAATACTTTTGTAATGATATTTTGCTAGCAAATTAAACCATTATATACAGAATGAATTTTCTTTATGAAACCAATTTTATAAAAGCAGTCCTACAGATTTAAATAACCAACGAGACACTTTCTATATACACTGAAAATATGTATCAGATTAATGCTTGAAAATCCATATATATATTTACGAAAAACGTTAGATATTTCATCAAAATATATTGATATTTAAAAATCTTTCCTCATGTATTTTCTAAATATTTGGAAAAAATATCGCAAAAATATATGAATTATATATTATATTTATTCGAAATATCCATAACGACTATTTTATGAATATACAAGAAATATACTTATTAAATATACTAGGTGACATATAAATCCGAACACCCAGTTTAAATGGTTTTATTTTAATAAAATTTTGTATAAGTACTTAATGAAGCATAATAAGTAAATGATAAAAATTTCAAAATGATTGCACTGCTTTAAAGCCTTTTGATCTTTAATCATGTGTGGATGCACCCTGATGTGCTACGTATTCTCCAACGCGCCTAGGCATGCTTCTGATCAGGTGGTCAATGTCCTCCTGTGGTATCTCATTCCAGGCAACCACCAACTCCTCTCGAAGTGCTTCTAGAGTCTGAGCAGGACGTTGCAAATTGAGCAATATCCTACCCACCATATCCCACACGTGCTCAATTGGGGATAAGTCGGGAGATCTTGGTGGCCATGGTAACAATGTGACATCATTATGTTGAAAGAAGTCTATTGTGAGTCTTGCAACATGTGGTCGGACATTATCTTGTTGGAAAGTTGGATCTGCCAGGGTGTCAAGATAGGGTAAAAGATGGGGTTCTAGAACATCGTGGATATAACGCTGCGCGTTCATGTTACCTCTGATGAAGATTAAAGGTGACCTGGAACCATAAGCTATAGCACCCCAAACCATAACTCCAACAGTGTGATGAACATGTCTTTCAACAAAAAACTGAGGATTCCTCCTTTCACCACGTCGCCTTCTAACCCTGGCACGACCATCGTGCATGCCTAAACAAAATCGAGACTCGTCACTAAAGACAATACTGTTCCATTCCTGATCCCAGAGTGACCGTTGTCTGCACCACTCAAGGCGATTACGTCGGTGTTCTCGAGTTAAAGGGAGGACCCAGTGTGGCCGGTATGAAAACAAGCCAAAACTTCTCATTCGTCGGTAAACACTTCGCATGCCAATAGGTCTTCCGTGTTCTGCAAACCATTCATTTGCAATGGACCTGGTAGTGGAGAAACGGTCCCTTAAGGCCAATAATCTTAGGCGGCGATCTTCACGGTCTGTTGTTCTACGGCGGCGTCCAGTGCCCCTTGCTCTTTGCGTACGGCCTTCTCAAAGCCATGCCTGACAACACCTAACCACAGTGTCTACACTTCTTTGCACTCTAACTGCAATTGCCCGAAAAGAAAGTCCAGCTTCCCGAAGTCCCACTATACGGCCCCTATCAAACTCACTAAGTTGACGAAATCGTACAGGTCTCGGTACTCTAGGCATCGTAACCGATCGTAAAGGATGTCAAGAACCAAAATCCGCCAACGTTGATTCTTTACTGCGGCTGAAATATTCATTTTTAGAGCGTTAGTGAATTAAAAAAAAGCAGTATAAAAACCGGAATTTCCAACTGATAAGGCTGAACATTTTTTCACTTGTTATTTACAGTAAGATAAATACATTTACCAACTTTTATTAAAATAAAACCATTTAAACTGGGTGTTCGGATTTATATGTCACTTAGTATATTAAAAAATCTGCCGCTACAAATATTTAACACACATTTTTAAAAAATATTTCATAAACATTTAATGCTATCGAGATAATTTATCGCAAAAATATATGAATTATATATTATATTTACTCAAAATATCTATAACGAATATTTTATGAATATGTAAGAAATATACTTATTAAATATTAAAAAATCTGTCGCTATAAATATTTAACACACATTTTTTAAAAATATTTCATAAACATTTAATGCTATCGAGATAATTTTTCCGAAAAAAATCTAAAAAACACGTTGCTAAGTAATATTTTAACGATTCTGTTGAAAAAATATTTTGTGTATTTTCAATTTTTTTCATAAGAAAAAATTAGATGCCCGACTTTAAAAACAATATTACAAAATTTATTGACAATAAAATCAGGAAAATTATTTAGCTTCGTTTTATGGTGTCCTAGGAGATCATAATTACTTGTTATCAAAGGTGTTGTAATTTTTGGTGACAACAGATGTCAAGGTTTTCCGCGGGTAAAAAGTGCTGAAACGTACTGTCAATTTTTCCACCTAGAAACCATTTGTAATTCAAAATTGAGCGTTTGTGATTGGTAGGAATCAAGACGAGGGAAATAGTCACACAAATCTATCTGCTCACCAATCATCCCCTCGTCAATATCCTCCTCTTGCTGCAACTCCTCTTCCTCTCTATCCGCCTCGATGATTCCACATCCAGGTTGCACCTTCTGCTGCGTCTGAGCGTTACCAAAATCCACCGGCTTGTGGTTGATCCAGACTCCCTTCATGCATCCGTGGAAACTGGTCAAGTTCCTCAGGTGGAATCGCTCGAAAGCATCTCTACCAGTCCCTTCTGAGATGCCTCCCAGGTACATGGGTGTGCTTAGTTTGAGGTACTCCAAGGGACCTTGGTTGATAATGCTTCTGGCTACGCCACCATCTACACGTAGCGTGAAGTTCTTCTTTATGGCTATCAGCTCGGCGACGTGATAGTTGCCATCTGAAACCTGGAAAAATACGATTTCTAATAGGTAGTGTTTTTTATGTTGAAGATAAGTAAATAGGCTACGAAACGATGTACTCTTTTCAGAAAAGGGTGCCCCAAAATAAGATTAATCATGTTTCTAGTGGGAAAGTTCACATTTCAATTTGAATTACGCGGCAACCATATACGCGAGGAAGTGGGGAGAGGTCTTGATCGACGCGTTAGGCGTATGGGTTAAATAGTCACAATGGAACGTTGGACCGGAGCGCAACGTGCTTTTGATATCTACGCTTACTTTAAGAGTGGTGATTCATTCGCAGCTGGCCTTCGGAAATTTTGTACACGATACAACATTCGCCGACCAAGAGATGCCCCAAGTAAGAACATATTGAAAAAGTGGATCAAGAGGTTCCGTGAAACAGGATGTTCTCTTACTCAACTCATTCCTGGCCCCACACCTACTGTATCAACCGAACAAAATGTGCGTCGAGTAAGTGATTCCGTCATTGCAAATCCTCGGCGTTCTGTCTGGAGCCATTCCGCTGCTTTGGGAATCCCTAGGTCAACACTGCATAGCATAATGAAGAAAAAAATGGGTTTTGATTCCCATAAAATCCAATCAGTTTGCTTCAAAGGAAAGTGATTACGTATTACGGAAATCGTGTGCTGAAAGGATGTTGTATCTTATTCCTACGCAGCGCAGACTCGAGAACGTTGTTTCCAGTGACGAGGCCCATTTTGACTTAGACGGTTATGTGAACAAGCAAAATTGCAGATATTGGCCATCAACGAACCCAAAAGAGAAACATCAACAACAGCTAAATAGTCCAAAGGTGACTGTTGGGTGGTGGTATTATAGGGCCGTATTTTTTTGAAGATGGAAACGGTCAGGCATTGACTGGCAATTACTAGCGATACAAGGACACTTCTTTGCTCATATTGTAAAAACAGAACATCGATTTAATAGAAACACAACAGGATGGGGCCACTGCCCATACTTCCAGAGAATCGACGGACACGGTGAAAGCACTTTTACCTCAAAAGGTTATATCGACGTTTGGTCTCCTAGATCACCCGACCTCATGCCATGCGATTTTTTTTTTGTGGGGTTATCTAAAGTCAGAAGTGTATTCCAATAATCCATGAACACTGGAGGAACTTAAAGACAAAATTCGTCAAGAAATAAACAACACTCCGGAACTCTGCAAGAGAGTGTTTCAGAATTTGCACAAGCGATTAGAAGAGTGTGTCCAAAGGAGTGGCAAACATTTGTACGGAGTGATATTTAAGAAATAACACCGGCCGAATTTATGAATGTGTTGATAGTAATGAATATTTTCTTTTCATTAAGTTTGTATTTTTTTTCTTAAATCAAAAAGTGAACTTTCCCATTGTATTTTATTTGATCCATATACACTATTTCAGATATACCATGAATCGGATAACTCCAAAATTTTAATAAGGTTTAGCGTGACATAGTAAAGTTTCCACGCCATGTTCTTTAGACTGTGGTCCTTGTTCTGCCATGGAAGCTAGGCGACCCACAGATGTGAAGGAAATTACCTTTATTGTTTGACGTTGATAGTGTTTATCATGACATTGTATGGTCACGCATCCAGAATAAAAATCGTATCCTATTGCTTAATTTTTCAACAACACACGAGCGAGAAAATCTTGTTAAACCACAACATTATTGAAAATGGATATAAACTATATACTGGGTGATTCTCAAGCCGTGACCAAAAATGAAACATCATACACAGGGTCGCCTTTAAGGTCTTCTATGTGACATTTTTTCCTCGAGGGCTTCATTACAAAAATACGTGGTGTTGAAGTTTAAAAATTAAAAACAATTTTTCTTAATATCCTCAAAACCTGTTGACGGGAATGAAGTAAAATTGGATATGCGGATTTAAAATTGGTGTAATAACGATAACAACCGTATAACACGTAACTTTGACAAACTATTTCCCAAGAAACGTCAAGTTGGTATCAAGGTCTCCTATTTTATTTTGAAACTAATTGTATCTAGGCTCTTCATGAATGATCTAATTTATTTTATTCTTCTTTTTACAAAGACAGTGCACTCGACGAAAAAAATACAAGAGTAATTATTTGTAGCAAATTGAAGGTCAAATTCGAAAAATTGCGCGTTACGAAAAATAAAAACAGTGGCATACTACTTTTATTTAGAAAAATGATGTCACGAGTCCCCTGTATCTCCGCCACTGGTGCACGTTCATTTCAAAGAAGGACTTTTGAATGTGGACAATACTTAGGTAAATTCACATTCCAAATTTCAGTTTATTCCAGTTGACGGTTCTGAAGATATTAAAAAAAATATTTTTTATTTTTAAACTTCAACACCCCGTATCTTTTTAATAAATCCCTCGAGGAAAAAGTGTTAACGTAGAAGACCCCCTAAAAATGCGCTCCTGCGTATGATGTTTCATTTTTGGTTACGACTTGTGAATCACCCTGTATAGTTCTTTTCACGGTTTCTGGCCGTTACACACTAACTCATTGTACCATGTGCGGATCTTGACATTCTTAAAAAAAAGTTGAACACTGCGCAAGCCGGTACTTGACGCAGCTCTAATACTCCCGCTTGCACACACACACACGCACACATGAATTTTCCGAAAACACTCCAATAAATTCAACACAGACGTTGCTGCTGTATCTGTATCTACATTACATTGCTAAATTTTATATCGAAGATCAACAAACGGTCCTTGGTATAAAAGCTGTCATACCGACAGTGACAAACATAAATGTGGAATACGTTGACGAGAAAATCCTCAATGTGGCGAGACAAAACTAAAAACGTATCTCTAGGAGCTCATACAAAAAAACGTCCACGCATAAATACCGATTGCATCTGTATGTGTGAGGAAGATGTATGTATGAAACTAATTATTGCTGTTGTTTTACTGTGACCCAACAAAAACCTTCCACTTATTTAAAATGCAATTTTATCTCTTTCATCTATTGGCAAAACAAATTTTTTTACCACTCTAAATATTTCCTTTGAACAGGTTTCAAGTGATAACTTACCATTTCATAACTATACATTGTTGATACCGGATCGTTTCCGACGTCATAGCTAACTCTAATTCTCCCGTTGAATAGTTCAACAGCAAGATGTGCTTCATGTCCGTCATATAGTAGTACCCCATTTTCTTTGTCGGTGGCAAAAATGATCGTGACGTTGGCTTCGGGTTTTGTTCTAAGCGGTTCCAGCTCTACGTACGAATTATTATGAGTGAAGCTGAGAGACGTCAGATATTCACAACGTTTGCCTGAAAAATAAAATATGTAGGTTGATTCTGCACTTCCCACGCAACGCTGGCATCACTTCATGAAGAATTACGTGCGGGAACAAGTTAGATTCTTTGAGACAAAAATTAGCTAAGAATAAAACACTCAAACAGGCCAGTAGAATCAGTCCATAGACATTTTCCACTGCCCTTCAGATATTAGAGTCCATCTGGCAACGTCGCCCCCCCCCATACCCCACCTCCCGCCACTAGATACGCTGCGCCAAGCATCCACTTGTGAGACTCGGCAGCATTGCAGTTAAGTCAACGTCAACACTTACAGGCGAGGCTGTGACGTCACTGAACCCAGAAAGCAACAGACTCGTGTCGCAGATGTTTCTCTGTGATTATATTTTGAGGGCAATTATATGGGGAAATCTACAGGGTGTCCCAGAAATAACACGCCAGAGTGACAGATCAATCAGATAAAATCAACATGACCTTGGTAAAAGTTTTCTAGTTCGAGATATTGCAACTCGTCTTTTGCCTATTATGGCTATGAAGAATTTCTAACTTATTAGTTCTTCCCTGGGCTACCATTAATAGTTTGTTCAGACATAGCACGGTAGGCTAAAAAAAATTATATTTGGTTTCAACCCGAAACCCTTTACTAAAGTTTTAATAATTGCTGTGAAAAAAATGTACCAGACTGGCTCAGCAAATGACATTGAATAAGCTATTGAATGCTATTTCCAAAATAGTTTTACTTGTATAGGTTCTTTTCAATAAAAGCTGTATAATTCCAAGTTTTGTCATAAAAGTCGTAATACTTGCGAAATACTACAAATAAAAAATAATAAATGCAGTGTCTTTTGTGTCCAAATTACAACTTTGTAGTTGCTGTAATCGCGGTACGCAGGTACCACCTGAATGTTGTAAAAATCAATGGAAATAAAAAAATACAACCTAAGGTTCTGACCATGCCTGCATACAACAATGAATAAAAAAAGATAATGAAAATGATAATAAAGTTGTAATTTGAACACAAAAGACAGCTGCATTTATTATTTTTTATTTGTAGTTTTTCGCAAGTATTACGACTTAAATGACACATAGCTTGGAATTATTCAGTTGTTAGTAAAAAGAACCTACTATTTTTGAAACAGCGTTAAATAGCCAATTTTTAAGGTCATTTGCTGTTTCAGTCTGGTACATTTTTTTTTCACGGTAATTAGTAAAACATTGGTAAAGGTTATCGAACCAAATGTAATTGTTTGTTTGTTTGTTTAAGATTTATTTAGCATGAGTGCTACAACTAGATTCTTCTAAAAAACTAAACATTTACATAACAAACAGATATTAAAAAAAAATTGCATCTCCAAGAGTTTTCATTGTCCATGAAATATTGTTTTAATTTTCTTTTGAATATCTTCAAATCATGTCTCTAGACTTTATATCATTATTTAGTTTATTAAATTCAAGTTAATCCTTTCTGAAATATTTACTAGCTATTTTACTATTATTCAATTCTATGTAGTGTTCTAAATGTTCTGGCAAAAGACGATTTTTAATCTTAAATATAAAAATATGAACAAATATATGAAATTTTTTATATCCAACCACTGCAGTTTTTATAACATAGATTTTATTGTGGTGTACTTATTTTTATTCAATATTATTCTCATATCTTTATTTTGCAAGACTTGTAATTTTGAGAATACAGCTTCATAATTTAGTTTTTTTCAGCATACCGTGCTAGTTTTGAATGAAATGAATACTCGGTTGTCTCAACCAACTGATAATAGTAGCCCAATTTTTAATCCCTACAATTTCTTTTTCGAAAATGACCAGGACGTCAAGTTTGCGTGACTTTTTTTTCGTTTTTTACTTACTTTTTTACTAACTTGTGTTAAAATCTGAACGGTATTTTCCAAGTTTTACACGTGATAAGGATAAGGAAAGAGAGAGACCGACGGAAGTGCGTGTCATGGTTTTTCGTGGTGTGCATGTCATATAAAATTTAAAAAGAAATACCTCATTTTTGCAATTTTTCGCGATACAATACTTCCTAGAATAGCATAGTTTCTTTCTGAAGTTTCTGATGAATGAAGTACAAGAAATGAAATATAAATAAGAATTTATAGGTACCTGAATATCCTGGCGCGCATTTGCACAGATAGTCGTTAGATCCCTGAGGTTGGAAACATACTCCATGAACGCAATCATGGTGCTGACACGGCGACGTTTGTGGATACATCATCGCTACCTGTGGCGTGATTTCGCAGAACTTTCCGCTGTAGTCCCCATTGCATTTGCAGGTGTAGTCGTTTATACCGTCTACACAGGTTGCCCCATTCTAGAAAGAAATTGTATGGTTTAAGTATTCAGGAAAATTATCATACTAAATTTTCAGAAAAATTCACAGCAGTATGACGATTAATGAATTCAAACTAAGCAGAAGGTACAAGCCTACGATTTGTCTCAAAGATCCCAGTCTGTAGGCAGGGTGAATGTGCGTACTACAAGTGCGCTTGACAAAATAATTTTTTTGCATTTTTTTTTTAAATTTGACTAGTTAAATTTATCAAATGCTAAAAGTGCTCCAATATATTTTGTTACGTCAGTCACATCTTATAAGTAAATATTAGAATTACAAGTATTTGTTTTTTCTTAAAATCAAATATCACCAGGCGCCACTAACGTTAACATGCGACATCAATGGAAGACGGTTCCTTCAGATTCATTTGACCTTTAAATAATCTTGATGCTCATAGTCACTCATTTGCTCTTTTTAATTTTGCTGCCAAAACAGGAATTTCCATCTAAAAAACAAGCTTGAAGGTCATAGTCCATGTCAGTTATAGGGCAGGTGAGTCTTTTCAAACCTTACAACTTTATTATGCATGTTTCTTTATTAAACCTATTCTGATGCTACGATTTCGTTGCACCTCGCCCGGCTACCCCGTTGGTGAAATCATGAACCAGGAATGAAAAAACTCACGCTTGAAGCTCTGGACACAACACGTCGGCTCCCGGATCTACCAATCGATCGCGCGGTCGACCAGAGGTGAAAAAGACATTAGTTTCGTTCGCGGTTCCGATTCGGGATTGATTCTGAACCACTTCGCATGCGCACTTCAAAAATCGGCGTTCGCGGTAAGAAAATTCAGAATTTTTAGTTACAGTTCTGCGTTCGCGGATCATATCGAATTGGTACAGAACTGATTCCGAATTGGTCCTGACGGTTCTCAAATTTTTGGTGAGACTTAAAGTTCGATCCGGCTGATCATGCGCATTAGCATCGTTATGGACATTTGATATTTCATCTTCTGCTGCCTCTGTTCGGGTTTAAAGTGTTTAACCTATTCTGTGAAAATCTGTCACCTGTGCTTTTTAGTGCTTGCTGTTGCATACATATGTTTTGTGTGTTCCATCTCAAATTCTTAAGATTCAGTGCTTAAGATGTCGGACCATTTATCGTTTAGTGATGATGATTTGGAAGAACTATTGGAAGTTATTGAAGTACCGACAACCCCTGGAAGCTGTCAATAGTGTCAATCGAATAGCAGCTTGGCAACAGCACAAAATAGAGGGCAAATTGGCAACAGTGTTGAATACGCAAACAGTTCCAAAGTTGTTCGCCGTAAACGAAAATCTCGAACTAGAAAATAACTGGACATGCGCATTTGTGTAATTCTGGATGGTTCAGTTTTAGTTCCGAACTGGTTCATTTTCTGACCCGCGAACGCAATTATTACTAACCTGTTGAATGTATCGCTTCTACATTATAAGTTTGTATCCAGTCCAAACCCAATAAACGTTGTTTCAAGAAAATAAAGTGTTATATGCGACATGACGAGCATACACAACAGATAGTTTTGCTCAAAATATGGGCCGACATAGTGGAGCTCCCAGAACTGTACGTACAGCTGAAGTTGAAGAAAATGTTTTAGATGCTGTCTTTGAAAATCCTTCAGTTGGAGTTAGGAATGTAGCACGACTATTTTAAGTTTCCAAATGTACAGTAAATACCATTTTTCAAGAGCAACTGCTCCACCCATACCACCTGACAAAAGTACATGGTTTAAGCGCGGATGATGCACCCGCAAGGGTAGAAGTTGGTACGTGGCTCTTAAGGAAGTTTAACTAGGACAATGGTTTCACTTAGTTAATATTATCTTCAGACGCAGCAGGATCTGGAAGGGATTGGCCCATTAACTCGCATAATCTTCACATTTATGCAGACGAAAATTCTCATACAATAGTACAAACCCGCCACCAAGTACAATTTAAAATTAATTTATAGGCAGGAATAATTGAACAACATTTAATAGGACACGTTGAGTTGCCACCTAGACTAAATGGCCAAAGGTATTTACAGTTTCTTGAAGAACAATTACCCACTCTGCTCGAAGATCTTCCATTACAAACACGCATGAATATGTATACCTCATCTTAGTATATTAGTTAGAGAGCACCTAAATAGAGTTTATCCAGACCAGTGGATAGGCCGATCAGGACCTGTATCGTGACCGGCTAGATCACCAGATTTAAATCCTATGGATTTTTCTTCTGGGATGATTTGAAACGACTCGTTACGCCAGCGGAAACTGTAGATGATCTTCGACAAGGAATTTCCCACCATAGTCACGAAATGAAAAATAAGATCCAAATGCTTTGGAGAGTGCAGCAAGGTGCAGTTCGTCGAGCTCGAGAGTGTGTTAGGCAAGGTAGTGCTCAGTTTCAACAATTTTTCTAGTTATTATTTCCGTTTATTAGTTTTCTTGCCATCCTCATTTGTTATTGTTAAAAACCCTAGCAACGCTACTCAGATATTATCCAAAACAACTTGATTATCATGTTATAAAAATATTTTATCATCATGGTACAAATAATGCATTGGAACTTTTAAAAACAAATATCTCGAAAACTACTAGCTTTAGACACTGCTAACAAGTAAACCTTTTTTGTTGTGGAAATGCGAAAAAATAAGATGTTTCCGTCAGTTATTGTAAGTTTGGCCATAAAAAATAACGGATTCTTGTTTCTCATACTAGATAACCTCCCTATACCGAGTTTTATGCCAAAGTCTGAAATACTTCTCAACCAATAAGGAAAAATAGAAAATAAAATTGTAACTTTGCCACTCTGTATCTCGCAAACTATCAACTTTTGGACAGAGGTATGTCCAGGTCAATTCACATATTTTGGTCTGTAGCATCTCCAGTTTCAAAATTTCCAAACCTTTCGCAGACACCCTGTATAATGACCACTTCCACGCGAGCGGAACCGCGGGTTTAGTCTAATAATATACAGAGAAATCCAAATATCACTCACGTCCTAATAAGTAGAAGATAGATCCCCGAGAGGCGTGCAATACGTATGTTAGAAAAAGCGCGTCGATAGCAACGCGGCAAGCCACAGCTGCGTCCGTGGCCGTCGCTCGGGTTGCAACGTGGTGCTTCTATCTCCTTCTAGCATACGTATTGCATGTTTCTCTCGCGCTCACATTACGACGTCATTGGTATATGGATTTCTCTGTATATAGATTTAAAAGTAAGAACAGTAGCTTACCTGGCACATGTGGTTCTCGCAGTCGTCGACGTTGACGGAGCAGTTATGCCCCTTAAAACCAGGTAGACAGTCACAGCTATAACCAGTACCGTGATCGATGCAGCGAGCGTTATTTTTACAAGGATTGTATTCTGGTGTACAAAAGGGAATCCTCGTTTGGCACTGATCGCCCATGTACCCCGGAGGGCACACGCAGCGATAGGAATTTATTAGATCTACGCACGTGGCGTTATTTTCGCATTTGTTCTGTAGACAGTCGTCGATGTCATGTTCACAGCGTTGGCCGGTGAAGCCAGGAACGCAGACACAGCTGGAAATAACAGAAAATCTAACATTAACATCCTCAGATAACATGAAAATAACAATTTTAATAATAATAATATTTATTCGCCAAAATACAAAAAATGGGCAAATAAATATGAAAAAACCACAGGAGAGTCTGTGTGTGGATTATATCTTAATAACTAAAAATCAATAATATATATCAATAAGAATTATTGTTAATTCTAAAAAGTATTAATATAATTGGAATTTTGCAGTTTTAGTTTTCTATATAATTAAATTGAAAATATACTTAGAGAAGAAATGACTGTAATGTATGGAGTTCCACAAGGGACAATACTTGCGCCCCTTTTTTAATTTATATACCAACGACTTATATAATCTATAAACAAAAAGTGAAAAAATAGGATTTGCAGATGACGCCACTATCATCCATAAAACCAGAACTTGGACAAAAATAACAGAAGAAATTGAAAAAGATTTAGTACAGATAACAGACTGGTTTGATAATCAGTTATTAGCTATTAAGTATAAAAAACCTACTTTATTCCCTTCACCTCTTACATAAATAGATTACTGCTATATAATCAGCTGAATATAAAGAAAACAAAACACCAAAATGAATATATATATATATCACGTAAACTAAACCATAAATATCTCGTAATTGTTTTTGTTTATACCGTCATCTTCATTGGGATGAACATATCCAATACATTAAAAAGAAACTTAGATTTATATTATGAATTCAGATACTACAGACAACTTTTCAATGAAACTCAATTAAAATGTATATCAAACATTAGTTGAATGCCACATAACCTTTGGAATTATTATCTGGGGATCCACGAATAATAACCATCTAAATTCTTTACAAGCAATGCAAAAACAATTCATAATAAACCTTTCCTATATCCCTCCAAATCACTGTTCATAGAATCAAAACTTTTAGATATAAAAAAATTATTCTGGTATAGTGTTATACTAGAATTCCATAAAAACAAACATTCGACCATTTATAAAAATTATGATTATGATACGAGTAATAAAAATAAACAAATAACTGTTGCAACACAAAAAAAAAAGAAATGTTCAAATCTTCTATTTACTTAGGTCCAAAATTATATCATAACTTACCAAAATATTTTAGGAAAAATATCATTATTAAAAATTTGAAAACTGATACAAATATGATGTAATTTACGAAAGTCTAACATGTCTTTTCTTCATTGTTAGACTATGATCCAAAATTAATGTAAATATTACACTTATATAGACTTTTTTATAGTTCAATCAGTTTATTATATACTGCTATGTTAGCATAATATCCACAAACAAGGATATTTTCATTTTGTGGCATATGCATTTGTTCACAATTTGTAATTGATGTGATTAAATTATATTATTATTATTAATCGTTATTTTTTAATATTCGTAAATAGTTGCGTTTTTTACTCGATATTGCGGCACTTGCCAACATTTTCCCATGACACGCTAATCTGGACCTTACCTGAACCTTCCTTCTTCTAACAATTTGCATGTTCCTTGATTCCTGCAAGGATTTCCATAGCAGGCATCAATCATGAACTCGCAATTTTTCCCATGGAATCCTGGAGCACATTTGCACTCGTAGTCCCTGTCAGGCATTGTCAAACATTTGCCGTTATTCTGACAAGGGAACGTGTAGCAAGCGTCGCACTTTGCCATTATTTCGTTACTAACTTGGCCTAAAAGCAACAAAAAACATCTTCAAACTCTATTCAAATCTCGTTTACGCTGCGACAAAGCAATCACCAGCACACAATCTTCAAATCCTCGCGCTCCTATTGGCTGGTGGGTTATATACCTATAAATGCCCGGACACGCAGCGATATGCAATTAGAAGCTGCAACCCAGTAGCTACTCGTAAAGAAGTTTAGGTTATTCCACTTGGAACAATGTATATTGTTATCCCGCATGACTGTTTTATACTGTCTATATTTCTAGTTATAATTTGGGAAAAATATAAATAACCCTGGGCTCAGTTGGTAGATAATGTGACCTGAGAGTGTAGTTCTTTGTACTTTGGTCTTTGATATAAATGGTTGAGGTTTGCGCGCCACCTAGTTCCAAGAACTAGGAACCAGACATAACAAGTAGTGTCTTTAATCATATCAACACTCAAGAGAAAAGGACCACAACAAAAAAATTCACCACTGGAGACCCCTATCAAAATCTCCACAACCCGGCAAACCAGCACTGGGTGTGAAATTATTTCACTAACGAAGGTTGTGACACGACTCCGACACGAGAGAACAATAAAAAAAACAGCCCCAAGTCAAGTTCAGTTCTCGTCGACGGAAATTATAAAAAATTACCATTAACGAGATGGAGATTTCCTATTATAGAATTATTATAACAAGAGAAGTGTTTTGATATAAAAGTAAAATTCAATATTTTTGAGAACTGTTCTAAAATTATTATTCTAAATAATAAAACGTTTTACTAATGTACTTTATCAAGATATAGTTAATTTTTAGTCGACCATAAAAACAAACTGTAACAATATACTAGCCGAGAGAATTAATCTCAGAGATTTTAGAATATTTACTGATATAATCAAGCATATTTGTTAATTTGATTGAAGACAAATATATGTTTGAATAGATTTACCTTTACACTGGAACTGCGATGAAGGAGTAGACAGTATAGACTTGTCCTTCATGTTTGGAGGTTCTGCGCAGTGTGCTATCCCTGGTTCAACATAATCTACTTTCACCCAATCTGAGAGCCACCTTAGGGTACAATCACAATACAATGGATTCGAGCCCAAGGCGCTGGAAACAAAAAAATGTTTAGCATAAAAAGACTGTCAGTTTTGAACATATCATATCAATACGCGCTACAACCATAACTTTGAGGTCAGCTCCTGGCCAATTGCAATATATATATATCAGCTATCTTGGTTTGGTGATACACTCATAGATGGCTCGACATTCTGCCAAGGATCCGCGTGTTCGCTTTGCATCTACCGATGCGGTGTTGCCAAACTGTCATAAAATGTTTAGAAAACGGTACATTTATAATGAGCTGAATGGAAATAAATCAGTTCTTTCAACATTGTTGGTAGTTACGTCAAAAAGCCATAGGAAATAAGTGAACATATCGTCTTGAGGACAGGCTGTCAAGATAACTGACAAATACACCTACAATTGATCAAATAAGCAATTTGAGCTTAGAAACAAAAATTGAATTTTAAGCAGCTAGTCCTCTTTTCTACTAAATCGTGTAGTCGTCCCAAAAGTTAGATAGCTGTGTGATAACTTACAGGTTTTTGAGAATAACATAAAGAGACAAATCGTAAAAAGTGTGATTTATAACTTTATTGAATGAAAAATATATTTCGTAGGCTGCAAATAGAGAGACAGGAATTAATTATTGTCGCATTGTCACTCGTAGTCAAACATTAGTCGAATTTGGAATTGTTTTACATAGTAACATATATCTTTTGTATTTCAAGTTTGATACTTACATATGGGTGATAGATTTCAGATCAGCAAATGTACCTTCTGGTATTAGTGATATCTGGTTTCCGTGTAGAGAGCTGAAAAAAATAAAAAAGTACATAAAACAGATCAATTCTTGAAAAAAAAATCATTTTGTGTTACGATACTTACATTATTCTCAACGAACTCAGTCCCTGTAACGCATCCTTCTGAACACATTGAAGCTTGTTGTAGCTAATGATCAACGTTGAAAGCTTTGACAGGTTCGTGAACGTGTTGTTTGATAACATTTGGATTTTATTGTTGCTCATATCCCTGAAAAGAATTATGGTAAGTTCGAAAACACTTTATAAATGAAAGACTTGTCTTTGGGGATATCGACAAATTATATAAAGTGTACCTTTCTGACTTACAAATACTCAAGCTTTCGACAGGCTATATGCTGTCATCTTCAGGAGCTAAAAATAAAATTGAAAATAGTAAAGAGCAAACTATGCTCAATTGATTATCATTTAATTATTTACTTCGTCAATAAGGTTGGTGCTAGTGTTAGATCTATTAAATTTGGAAACATGGCTAGATGATAAAAAACTGGATTTACGCGGATCCTTTTTCAGCAACGATGGAGGAAATAATTATGTTTAAGTGATGAAATACGTATGGATTGGGACGAATATTCTTGATTGAATGAAATTGCTTAAATCTTTACAGATTCACAACATCTTGGGCTAACCTAGAATTATTGGTGTGTTCGAGAGGTTCGGATTATTGTGTGATGTTGGTACCATTTGCACGTGCTTTGCAAGTATGTTTTTGAGAAAAAAAAAATGATCCGGGTAAATCCAGTTTTTTATCATCCAGCCATGTTTCCAAATTTAATAGATCTAACACTAGCACCAACCTTATTGACGAAGTAAATAATTAAATGATAATCAATTGAGCATGGTTTGCTATTTACTATTTTCAATTTTATTTTTAGCTCCTGAAGATAACGAAAGCTTGAGTATTTGTAAATCAGAAGGGTACACTTTGCTTAATTTGTCGATATCCGAAAAGTCAAAAGTCTTTCATTTAACTAGTTATTATCGACAATAACTATGAATCATATTATATATATATATATATATATATATATATATATATAAAAAAAAATAAACTTTGATCCATCATCCAGTATTTGTTCATTTAAACGTCAAACATGTATACCAGAATTTATTTCGTTATTTATAATTATTAGCAAGACATATTTGTTTGTTTGTTTAAGATTTATTTAGCATGATTGATAGTATTACATTCTTCTAAAAAACTAAACAATTACATAACATACAGATATTCAGAAAAAAAACAAAATTTGTATCTCTAAGAAGTTTTACTGTCCATGAAATATTTCTTTAATTTTCTTTTAAACATCTTTAAATTACAGGTAGACTTTATATCATTATTTAGTTTATTAAATATAATTGTATTGTAAACTATTTTCTTGGAATATGTGCCAAGAATATGAGTAAAATAAAAATAAACTCACAATCTGGTAAGCGACTTCAAGTGAGATATTCTATCAGCTTGTATCCGTGTGATTTCATTGAAGTCCAGATACAACTCTGACGTTTCTGGTGGGATTCCACGAGGTATTTCCTTGAGGTTAGCGTTTGAACATCGAACCACCGTTCCCGTGCATGAGCACATTGGCGGACAGTAGTTTTCGCCAAGACATCCTTGATCATTCTCACCTATGAATAACAAGGTTTACATGCTAGATCTAATCGAATTTACGTATATTGTATTCTATAAGGAAATGGCCCTAGCCTAGAGATACAAAAAATTTTGCTGGCTGATATTTTTATTAACGATAAAGTTACGAATTATTGGTGTAAGTGGTTCAAAAAAGTTTACAGGGGATTAAAATCAAAATGAGACATTACTCGGCCAATTTGTCGTGACTGTTAATTTGTTATCAGAAAAAAGCTTTAGAAATCGTCGATTTATACACTTTTTTTACTGGAAAATGCGTAACCGTAAATCTGAAATAACAGGTAAAAGTTAAAGTTCAAGGCGCTTAACATCCATAAAAATTCTATTCACGAACGCTCAACTGTTTCTGGAATTTTCTAATTGCTATTAATTTTTCCAGAAGAATGGACCTTTTGACGAGCTGCACAGTGACTTTGGATCAAACAAACAGCCTCATAATGGGCTTATTCTCTTGATAGAGGCTTAGTTTAATACCATGTAAGTTAATAGTTTAAGAAACTAAAAAAACACGCTTTTAGTAGTAGAGGGTCGAACAATCATTCATAATTAATGAACACAAAATAAAATTATAATAAGATTTAAGTTATTAACAGAATAATTCAATTCAGAGTAAAAAGCGTGGGTGCTTGATATATTAAATGTTAGAATACTTCTATTGGCAACTATCTGTGAGAGGAGAGTTATGAAAATTTAGTCAAATGTTTTTTACTCTGAATTTAATTATCTGTTAATAACTCAAATTTTATTATAATTTTATTTTGAGGTCATTAATTATGATTGATTGTTCGACCATCTACTACTGTAATATAAACTCTTTGTAATTAAAAATGTAATTATATATTATGCTCAAAGATTCCGTCAAGGTCAAGTTTATAAAAGCGCGTAAAAAATGTTTTTTTTTGACCACTTATACCAATCATCCATAATTTGAATATACGCGAAAAAGAGACTTTTCCAACTTTTTTGTATCTCTTGAGGAGCCTTGTCACGAATATAATTCTTCTGGGTAGATATTTATTGAAAATTACGTATACAGAAATAATCACTTGGATACCAAGAGCAACTATACTCACTAGTACACTTGAAATCGTTCTTAGGTAGCTCTCTAATAAGGACATCTTTCACTCTTTCAGGACTGGCACATCTTGGAGGTGAACCGCTAAGTCCTTTGTTCTTCAGCCATTCGGAGAACCATGCTAGGTGACAGTTACACACGAATGGATTTTGCACCAAGTTCCTGAAACAAAGTTAGTGGACTTTTAACACATGAACCTCATACTCACGCGTATTCTTTAAAAAAAATTTGTAGCCATTGGTCACGTTCACTATAACATACCGCTACTCTAACGATCAGTAGCAATATTCTTATACGCGGTACCATGAGCTTCAAACACGCTGAAAAATTATTGAATGAAACTTACAACGTATGAAGAGACTGAAGGGAATCAAAGGATCCAGGCATTACACATGTTATTTGATTATTATTCAGTGACAACACCTTCAAATTGTGCAGTCCCAGAAACATTTTGTTGTGGATTTCTAGAAGCTTATTCTCCGATAACAACCTGTAAATTAAAAAAATCGGATATAGTGAGCGTCACGCGATAAACTAAATCAAATATAGTCCCTTTACTTACAATTCGGCAATTTTTGCAGCTCCTTCGAAAGAATTTTCTTCAATTCCGGTAATTTGATTCCTTCTCATGTCTAACTTCACCAAATTAGGCAATCTTCCAAAGAGGCCATCTGACTTTATCCTACCCAATTCGTTGTCGTGTAGCAATCTAAATAATGTTGATTTCGTAACAGTAAGTGGCAATTTATTTTATACAGGGTGTACCAATAATAGACGCAGATATTTCAGAGGGTGATTCCTTGTTAAGAAGTTAAAAAGTTAAAAATGTTTCTATAAACATGGTCCGGAAATGCAGAGTCTTCAAGATACACGGTGATAAATTAAAAAAAATATTATTTCTTTTAATCTCTTAAAACATATGTACTCGATTCGTAGCGAATATTATTAGCAAAAAAATGTACGCCACTGTATTTTTTGTAACTTTAATATTTGTTGTTTGATTAAGCATCTAAAAATACGACTACTTTGCCTCTTGTATTTTTCTCGTATCTCACTTCGTTTTCGTGAAAAAAAAAATAATAAAAACCGTTTTATTGCATGTCACTGGACAAAATTAATTAAAGTAATGTTTGCTAAAAAAATCACAAGTGCCTTGGGGAGTGTATTATTGCAACTTTTCCAATAGGTGCATGACAGAGAGTACAATACAACAAATTAATAAAACATTTTTTCTTAATATGTTACTCTGTACCTTGAAAGCTCTGCATTTCCGGATCAATGTTTACAGAGACCTTTTTTCACATATTTTAACAAGGAATCACCCTCCAAAATATCTTCGTCTATTTTTCGAACACCCTGTATTTTTGTTATGAAACTTTGTGCAAACCATCTGAAATAATGATGAAGAGCATCTAATCTTTACATTGAACATACGTGTAAATAGTTAATGAAAATCTGAATATTTTACTGTAAAATGTGACTTACAGTTCTGTAGTATATAGAGGAATATCTCTAGGGATTTCTTTCAAGCCTCTTCCGGAACAGTCAACAATTGTGCCGTCACAGGAACATCCTGAGGGGCACGCATTATCTATGAGGCACTCTCCGGCGTATTTTGTTCGGAATTCTTCTTGACCTAAAGTTATAGAATATATAATAACGTTATCACTTAACAATGGGAGCGTTCAAACAACTGTAAAGCAGGGCTGAATAGCTACTGAATAACAGTACCAGTGGGATAGCTTTGTCAGTTTGATGGCAGTCTTTACTTGCCTGTCAGATTTTTCTGTGTAATAGCACCAATTTTTATTGTAATTAATCGCTTTTATAATATTTTAACCAACTCTATTTATTATAAATATTAACTTCAATTTTATTAACTCGTTATTTTGCATTTATTGCCACTTAGTGTTTTATGTATGTCTCATTTACGTATTGTTTGTTATTTTTACATACTCTTTTATGTTTATACCTTAGCTGACTTGTGCAAACACATTTCTGTGTGATAGCACCAATAGATTATTATTATTATTATTATTGTTATTATTAGTTTGTAGATTAAATGAACATAAAAGAGCTGCATCGCTGTAATGCTTTACGTTGGCTGAACGCGCTCATTATTAAACCTGAAGGTAGCTCTTGAACCTGTCTGTTAGAGGATATACGTGTATTATACTTTCAGAGACTGTAAGCCTAGAAGAATGACCTTAGGTAAACAAACCGGTGACAAAAGTCAAGTTACTATATGATTATGATTGGTGAATACAAGCTTCAAGTACAGGTAGGGAATTATAATAAAATAAAGACAAACGTAAAAGCTCCACAACAGAAAACAGACATTATTAAGCCCCGCTTATCAATCTCTGTTTTTCTAGCCTCGGAATCCCCAACCTGTATGATTATTCACACGATATAGTCTTTCAAAACGTATGAATAGCTATTCCAATACATGTGCTTCCGCAGAGGGGGGTGCCAGGGACGCCGCTTGCAGGCTCTCGCTGAAAAAAATTCCTGCGGACGTCCATGTCCCTGTAGACCCAAATTAGAGACGGACATTGTTTTTTAATGTCTAAAATGGAAAACCGAATCGCAAAAACTACAAGGTCCCAGGTGTGCTTTGAGATATCTTGCAGGGCACTTACAGTTTTATTATTCGAAGTCCTAGTCAATGGTTACGACTATAAAGCATCGAGTTGTAACGTAAACACTGTTTTACTGTTCAAAGCCTAATTTATTACCCTTACACCAATTTATAACAACTTGCACTAATTTAGTAATTTATAACAAATTTATAACCATATCGGACTATCCCGTTATGAGGTCATCGCCCGCTGTCGACTGTGATTGTGCTTTTGCTATCTGGTCGTGTATTTAACTTCAAACAATGAATTCCAGTAGCCTTCCGGATCGAGCGCTAAACTTGATCGAAGTAATCTAAACAGTAGATGCATCTCCATTGCGGTAGATGATTCCCGAGGGTGTCTAACGTTCCCAATGTCGTCACGAACACTCACTTATTCTGGCTGCAAGCTATACCGCCCTTGGTGCACCGCGGTATAACTCTGGTTGCCTAAGAGTCGACGTTACGAAGGTACCTCATTGTTCCAGTTACTAGGGCGTTACAGAGTTGTCACCATGTCATTGACCCAATCGATTCTTAATGGGGCCAAGAAAAATTGATATTCCATAACATTAAGATTTTTCAAACTCCCGAAACGCCTTCGAAGCGAAAATACCCCTGGTTTGCGAAATAATTGTAAAGTCTGGTTTTATTGCTGCAAGTTGTTCATTAGGGTATTCAAAACATGGACGCATAAAATAGGTACACCAATTTTTGTAGGGAACGTGTTTTTTTGGGTTCCAAGCGAAAGTGTTGGCAGGAACGAAAAAACTCTTCATTTAAGATTTATAGGTATTTATGAAATCTACTAAATGAGACTACTCGTAAAAAGATCCGACTAATAGCAAAAAGGTAATGGCGGAAAACCGAAGCAAACTGCAGGTTTTGGCACTTGTTGGTAAGTCTCCTTTTTCTCAGTATACGTGAGGCCCGATCGTGTGGACTGCGGATAAGCGTGATTATGAATGTTAGATGAAAAACACCGTACCCACTGGCTGTAGTGGAATGGTGCTTACCCTTACATTTGAACTTTTCGTCCTTGAGTGATTCGATGCGCCTGCGTTGCATCCGCTTAGGAGTTTCACATCTGGCCCCTGAAGTTTCTATAGGATTGCGGTGCAGGTACTCGGCCAGCCATTTCAAGTTGCAGTCGCAGATAAACGGATTTCTTGCTAAGTGTCTGAAATAGACATATACAGCTTAAGTTTGATTTATATAATGTCGGGGCACCTCGGCTGCTATAAGGAGTTTAAAGACACTTTGTTAATCCGATTCTTGAACTGCCTAACTGGGAAAAGCTTCGTCAGACAGATTTTTCCACAATCTCGAAATCCTAGGGACAAAGGAGTGGTCGTACCAAACAGTTCGAAAAGGTTGAGATGGAAGGCAGAAGCCTGGTAGGTCCGCCTGGCAGGCTCAACTTCTGGTCACGTCATGAAGGGGAGCCTTTATGGAAACATCTTTAGCGTTCGTACAATTCCTTGAAACTTATTTCTACGACAGTTTCCAAATTAAATTTTTAAGTGGCATGATTTTCAGTTATTCAATTGCAGGGTTTTTATTTTGGAAATGAAAACTATAACTAAGTTAAAAATACAAATATTAATAATTTTTCTACATAATACTTACAATGTTTGTATGCTCTCTAGTGAATCAAAGCTTCCATTAGCCAAGGACTGTATATTGTTGTCGTAGAGAGACCTGGAAGTGATTCCAAAGATCATATGAATGCCGAAAACAAAACAAAAAATGAATACTTACAGCAAACTGAGACTATGTAGATCACGGAAGGTATCTTTTCTTATGCAGGAAATTTCATTCGCGTTGAGCAACCTTTGAACAAAAAATATTATTTATTAATGAACACGTATCTACCATTCCAACAAGGCAAAAATTATGATCGACAGCGATACTTACAGAAGTTGTAGAGACACTAGTCCTTGGAAAATTCCAGCAGGAAGGTCTTTTATTTTATTGCCGTAAAGTACACTGAAAATATATAAAGTTTATAATTAAAACAGTTACATATACAGCTAATTACTAAGTACTTACAGTGAGGATAGCGCCTTTAAACCTTGAAATGCGTCTGCAGATATCCTTGATATCTTATTGTTGCTCAAATCTCTGAAAAGATAAAAAACGGGTGAGTTAGAATTTGAATTTAAATGTAAGATTTCAAAACAATAGTTTTTATTTTGTCCTCTTGGTATTAAAAAGTTCTCTACATGTTATGAAATTATTTAAAACTTATTAATCTTATACTAAAAATTTTAGTTTTACTTACATCCTTCTCAGTCTTTTGTGAGCTGAAAATGCCTTAGGTGGAATCTCGGTTATTTCATTTTGCTCAAAACGTCTGAAAAATCAATATTTTTCCATGAGATATACGCTTCTCTGTATTAAGATTAATATATAATAATAAAAACTACATATAAATGACTGCCATGCTGTCAAAATTAGTCAGTTAAAATAATTGAAGCAAGGCGCAGAACCAATAAAATTGGAACTATTTGTTATTTAAGCTTCTCTTGTTAAGCATACAGTGATACATAAGATGTCGTCCAGCCCGTTAAAACAAAATAATTCAGAAAAGACATTAATAAAAAAACACCGGTCCAATTTATTACAAGCATCTGGGCTCAGTCCAATTTACTGACGTCCGTCAACCGTTCCGTATAATTTAGTGCTTCCTCGATAGATGGAGCAGAGCTCGACTCGATGAGGTATCTTCACGTATTATCGATTTTTGCAGACCAGCTGTTTCGGTCAGCATCGGTAAGATCGCGCCACTGATGCGCCATGTATGCGAACTTCAGATTTTTCTAAGTAGTTAGCTAAACGCGTGAGTATTCTATAAAAGGGTGCTTGTTACTGGATAGCACACGAATCCTTTGGGTTCGTGGGGTATGGCAATCAAGACATACCCAGCACGCAATTTTTGGAAAAGTGGGGCTGTTTCTTGGCATTGTTCCAGAGGCGCCCCCTATAATTTAATCAAAACAAAATTATTAATAGCAGAAAGTCATCGGTCATCGGAGACACGGAGACTCTGCAATCTTCATATTAAAAGAATTGCGATATTGCGAAATGATGGGAACTGGAGCTCTGCCACCAAGTTGCGCAAATTTCCGAACATGTGTTGCATTCTTGTATGTTTTGTGGTGACTGACCATTTTTAAATTGAATATCAGTTTAGTGTTAGTTTTTCTCGTTTTATCAATCTGTTTACGGCGTATACATGTCCAGTGTTTAATGTCGTCCTGTCGTCCACCATTCGTATTTATTGATAGCCTTAACGCCTTAACCGACGTTCTAGCTCCACATTTAGTAAATATCACTCCATGGTAAATACTAAATACTGACTTCCATCAATATACTATCCTGCACATTCAGTCAATATCACGTTTCATGGTAAATACTGATGGATGACGGACAGTACAATATAAAATAAAATCGTAGGCATTCGACTTATTTTAATGGAATTACAGTCGTTGCTGTTGTTACGGACATTAAAGAAATGGTTCCACAGACGGAAATGGGTGTTAAGTGTTTTGGTGTTTCAGACATCAGGGAACATCTAATATTTGATTTTGAAATCTACACAACGACAGAGTCTCTTAATTATGATTTTCTATTTGCTGCACCACCACTCAGGCACCACATAAATCGAAATTTTCTACTAAATGGTACCCCAAAATTCATGCAATATCTGAATTAAATAGTTTATAGTGTTATCCCAATGTTGAATCGTACGTATAGCGGATATGGTTACAATGAAATAATACATTAGGCTAATGACCTTCCTCAACTTTGTCGGTAAATACACACTTCTTTTGAGGACACTTTTTTTGTACGTAATAAATGTGGCTGAATTTTGTTGAGGCAGGGTTGCATTTTCTTTTACCATGTACAGGTGTCTGCGGGCTTATTGGAGTAGACCTTTGACTTCATGTATAACTCTATAAAAAGAAACCCAATGTTGTTAAGTCACACGACATAGGCGGCTAATAATTCTGATTACTGAAACATGAAATGTTTCATGCATCAACTGAACTTGTTTGTCTGGTCGGTCCGTAGGATCTTTGCGCATTAGTCACTGTCTAATGTACATTAGTCGAATCTGTCAGTCCTGGTTGCCCAGAAACCAGACAATGTCAAGGAAAAAGAGAAAGCGAAAGACAAGAGCAAGTGTTTAGTTTAATAGGTACTTGGTACACGGATTGCTTTTGAGGTGAACTAAACAAAGTTTGATTCGGTTTTGTTAGAGTGTAATTTTAAGTTTACTAAAAGTTATCGCCAATTTTTGATTACAGTGCTAGCTGTGGCCTAGCATGCTTACGAACTTGCTCCGCTGTCTCGTGAACTGTTGGGCATGCGGTAACTGAATTGTATCAGGGGGTCTGTACCGTGTGACACATTTTTTAAACCACTTGTCTGACCCGCATCAATATTGTTCAATTTAGACAGAAATAATGTGTACTGGAACAAGGCAAATTTCAGTGCTGCATTAACTGAACTTGGCCACATTTATGCAAAATGACCAAGGAGAAATTCGATGAGACATGACGCATATGCCAGCAAAGTCAAAGTAGAGTTTAGGTTAAAATTGCTGCCCGTATCTTGGTGCTGAAATACATTGTAAAACCTAATTCGTGGAGAGGTGTAGCAATCTATATTTTTTACATGCTTGCTACAACTATGGCGCCATTGGACAGAACCAGGACAGGAGTCTGACAGCAGTATCGTTTTGCTAATGTGGAGAGTAGATATTGTGATGCTGTAATATCGATCAAAATGCAATTTATTTTCAGTACCGTGCAACATGCAGGCTTCTAATTTACGTGAACATTGTTAGTTTTGTAAAGAGGAGTCTCTACAAACGACGGATAGAATGCGGAGCATCGGTGATACATTTTCTGTCCCTATACCGTATGAAGTGCACTTCATAATAAATGCACAAAAAAGCAATTCCGGATGAAACTCGTACAGGTAGCGATATTGATACTGAGCTGCTAAATAAGTCTGGGAAACTACTTTCACTATAATATGTCTGTTATGTTTGTCAAAGGAGTAAATAAACTTTCGAGGTTAATTTCACTTGACTAATAGTCTGGTGACTGGCAGGTTGCGAAGTTACTTTTAACGTACTAATATAGTGTCTGGCGACTGGCAAGTTTAATTGACAAACCCATCAAGTAAAAGCTATAGTCTGGTAAAATTAACTCTGCAGGTTAATTTGGCAAACAGCTCGAACGGGAGTAATAGCTGGCGTCAATTGGATTGTGTTGATTAGACAGCGCAAGTTGTGTAAATCATAAATATTGGTTTAGGGCTAGTCCATATTGACGATCTAAACGAATCAATTGCTTTCAATGGACACCACGATGTACTTTCAACTGGTTATTAAGCAGGTAAAAAAAACAAATTTCCAGTGGCGTCGTTTAGGGGTCAGTATGTAAGTATTTTGAATACGGTCAAAAGACAAAACAGTCTTACAATTAGAATAGTCCAAAGAATTACCCGTCAAAGTTTTGATTCAGGCGTTGCAACTTCCTCGGTTTAGAAATATCAGCATTTCCCGTATTTTCACAGTGTTGAACTAAAGTAAGGATCTGATCCGTACAGTATGAATACGTCACGATCAGGTGTTTCATAACCTCCAAATACAGGGTCCGTCAGAAAAAAACGCATGTTTTTCGAATGGGTACATCGAGTGGGCTGGTCCCGTGTCCGTGGGCTATGGCGTGTTGGATAGTGGGAAAAGTGCCGTTTCAGTTTTCAAGATGGTTTCGTGAGCATCGTGTGTTCACTGTACGTCGGTACTTTCAAACCGCAACGTGAGTTTCGCGTGCACTTTCGTGTTCCACGTCGTGGGACAGTACCAGACCGTAACACCATTTTGAGATAGGTGGAAGCATTCAACACATCAGGTAATGTGATGAAGAAAAAACCGCCAAGGCGAAACCGTACTGTTAGAACCCCCGAAAACGTAGACACAGTGAGTGTTGATACGCTGCAAAGCCCGAATCGTTCCGTCCGTTTGCGTACCAGTTCCCTAGGGATCCACGCGTCCTCTGTACGTCGCATCTTGAAGAAGGATTTAGTGTTCCATCCTTACAAAATCCAAGTTTGTCAACAACTGTTGCCATGGGATTATGCACAACGTCTTAATTTTGCACAGCTCATGATTGAACAGCTGGATAGCAATGACATGACGTTGTTTATGACTGATGAGGCACATTTTCATTTACATGGATACATCAATAGAAAAAATTGTCGATATTGGTCTCCAGAGAACCCCCAACAGTTGCATGAGCACCTCCTGCATACCCCAAAAGTTAGTTTGGTGTGCAGTAGGTCCAACGATGATTATTGGCCCTTATTTTTTTGAGGATGATAGAGAAACAACTACTGTGAATACAGAGCGTTACATCCACATGCTGAACAACTTTTTTTTTCCGGAACTTCGACGTCGGCGTGTCGGTCTCAGAACAGTGTTGTTCCAACAAGACTGGGTAACATCTCACACAGCTCGCATTTCGATGGAACTTCTTCGGCAAAAATTCCCAGACGTCTCATTTCATGGCCATATTCCATGGTCCCCTCGCTCCCCGGACCTGTCAACGTGTGATTTTTTTATGAGGCTACCTGAAATGAAAAATTTACCAAAGCAAGCCTCGAATCCACATCGATTTGAAGGAGGAAATAAGAACAGAAGTAACTCAAATTCCTGCACGGATGCTGGTCGACGCAATGGGCTGATTTCGGGAGAGGCTTGATTCCTGCATTTCGGTTCAAGGGCGCCATATGGCCTGCATAGTTGTTAGAACGAAAATTTTGTTTTACTAAAAATGGCATGTATTTCTGAGCACTTTGATATAATAGAATATTTTTTCCCATACTTATTTTGACTGTAATACTCATTTAAAAAACATGCTTTCTCTCTGACGGCCCTGTAGAACGTCGAATATACAGTTTGCCCAGTCGGAACGAATTCATGGCGGATCAGGCCCTTTGAATAAAAAAATGCGGTCAACATTGTTTTCACTTTCGACTTTGGTTGCTCGACTTTCGATGGCCTTTGCGCACCTGGACTCAACCAAGCAGCGGATTGACGTTTTGTTCGAGGATCGTACATGAAACACCATCTCTCGTCGCCCGTTACGATTGCTTTCAAAATATATTTTAAGATGAACGCAAAAATTTTTCGCACTTTTTGTTCCATGTCCCGGATTTGCACAAGGCATGAGACCTGCAAATCCGCGGAACACAGTTTACACGGCTGCATGTAACTCGGAACTCGAGACTGGAGTGACCAAACGTGGTGAAATTTGGCACACACACACACACACACTTCAGACAACGCGCTACACAGTTCGAGAGATCGCGCAGCTTGTATCGAATACAGCAATTCAGATCGGGAACTTTTCAAACATACTGTGTATTCTGCCTGATTCAAAGAGATGCCCCGCTGGCAGTGGCCTGCGATGTGTTTTGCTGCTCTCTTCCTTTTCGGTACCAGAGTCACGTAAGTACAGATTATGGCCAGCTTACATATTTGGACACCTATTCTTGAAAATGAGGGAGTAGGAAAATTTCATCTTTAAAGTTGACACCGATGGACGACGGCGAGACTTCCGTATTTTTTCTCCCGAGAACCACTCGGCGAGCGGCTGTCTAATCAGTCTTCAAGAATATACAACCACTCCCACTTTCTTTGTGTTGTTCTAACTCCTCATTTCGAAAATTAACCCCTTGTAGAGAATCCTTCAAGAAAGCAACGCCTACGGTTCAGAAAATTCGGGAATGAGGGTAGCTCTCTGATTGGCAGTTTGCATTTGTTGCTGCCACAGTGTGGCTACTCCTATGAACGAATTTTTCCTCAGCAGTAATTTTTTCGATAAGAAAACTTGATCCATGCAGTCGAAGTTGTTCTTTAAAAGCATTAAATTCATCTACTATATCGGGCATTTTTTTGATTTGGCTACCATGCACTAGATGGCGTTGTAACTTTCTACTATCACACACTCCACAAATTTCAATGACTACTTGAAGGAATCTGAAGAAACCTCAGTAAACCTCGATTTTAATGGGGGGGAGTATATTTGCTTTTCAGCAAAAGAATGGAATACGCAATATTGCTATCTAATAAACTAATTCAACTGTAACTTCTTTTTCATCAAAACTGGGGGATTTTAGTCCCCCTCACGACCATTTAAGTTTCTTGATCTTCAAGGATGTGTTAAATAATTGAACCACCCAAACCCCGACCAACCGCCCCTCAAAGATTCTCTTAGCCTAGTTAAATTTTGTGGGCCTTATGATAGTAAGGATTCAAAGCGCCACCTATTGGTCGGTAGCAGAACTAAAAATTACCACCGCTATCATGTAATTTTTTTCCATAAAAAAACTTGAAACGTGAATTCGAAGATATTGTTTAAAAGCATTAAATTCATCTACTATATCGGGCATTTTTTTAATTTGGCTACCATGCACTAGATGGCGTTGTAACTTTCTACTATCACACACTCCACAAATTTCAATGACTACTTGGAGGAATCTGAAGAAACCTCAGTAAACCTCGATTTTAATGGGGGGGGGGGGGGTATGTTTGCTTTTCAGCAAAAGAATGGAATACGCAATATTGCTATCTAATAAACTAATTCAAATGTAACTTCATTTTCATCAAAACTGGGGGATTTTAGTCCCCCTCACGACCATTTAAGTTTCTTGATCTTGAAGGATGTGTTAAAAATTGAGCCACCCAAACCCCGACCAACCGCCCCTCTAACATTCTCTTAGCCTAGTTAAATTTTGTGGGCCTTATGATAGTAATGATTCAAAGTGCCACCTATTGGTCGGTAGCAGAACTAAAAATTACCACCGCTATCAATTTTTTTCCATAAAAAAACGAAACGTGAATTCGAAGATGTTGTTTAAAAGCATTAAAGACATTTACTATATCGGGCATTCTTTTAATTTGGCGTACGTATTTCTGATAATCCATCCTACTACTACTCCTGTTCGAGGTGTTTGCGAAATAAACAGAATAGACAAGTAGAAGGACAGGGAAAGGAGGGAAGGAAGACAAGAGAAGAGCATTCAGTACTTTTAAAGCTTCTTTTTAATCCTTTATTTTATAAATACTTATACCTGCATTATTGTAAATAATTATATGCATATATAATATGTAAAACAAAATGTTACATATGCACAATTTGTGGAGAACTTAACCTTTGACCGTTGAGACAATAATAGTATATTACATAACAAGGTTAAAAATTTAAGGCATTATTGAGAGAGCATAATACAAATACCTTTCAAAACACACACTTTTTTGTACATTTTTCATTTATTTACGATTTGACAAATTTTCATGGAGTAAAAAATCAATGACTGGCCAAGAAGTGTCGAAAATAGTATGACTGTCCGGATACTGCCCATCTAGCGACAAAACTCGACTGTGATGATGCTTGAGTTGTAAAGTATTCGACGTAATATACAGAATTAGTGTAAAGCCTAACGTTACTTTGCAAAGATAACTATCTTGGTACAATATTTTTTCATGCAAGGCTAAAAACTAGTAAATACAGATATTAGGTTTGCGTTTAAGATGGTTTAAGCAAAGCCATGCTGAACAAGCAACCAAAACAAGCAGCAACAGCATGTTTTGACGTGACTCACAGTTCCGTAGTGCCTTCAGGTAAATGGTCAGGTATTTGGGTGAGACCCTTTCCGCGGCAATCCACAATTCCTTCTGCGCATCGGCAAGGATGAGGGCACTGGGACTCGCTGGCACATTCTCCAGTTACAGCCCTTTCTACCAAACCTAGAAAGAAAAATACGTTCAAGTTTGAAGCGACAGTTGACAGTTAGGCTTTTTGCACAATTCTTTATTAGTCAGCGACTTGTGAAAGGCAGGACACTAGTGAAAGTAATATTTTCTTAAATAGCTTCAACTTACATGTTTTGAGAATAACAACCCAGTAAATAAAACAAGACCTAGATTTTTACGAAAATTATCTATTACGAGCATATAACTCATAAATTGTTTAGTGTTATATACACATATTTAAAGCCTTTACTATGTCATTAATTAATTAAAATCGTTTTTGGTCTAAAATGAGTTTTTTATGATTGTCAAAACTTTAAAGCATAAGCTCAATAATTTTTTTCCTGGGTTGGTTCCTTTTTGCAAAATGCTGGCCTTTTATATTCTGAATATGGTCTGTTCAGTCAGTTCATAAGTCAAAGAAGTTCTAGATGAATGCGCAATCTCACTATTTACCTAGAGATTTTTTATTATCATTATTTACTTAGCAAAGAAATGTAACTTCTCCTTATATGAATGTGGTAAAAAATGGCAATTTCTCAGGTTAGTAGTGGAAAAAAATATTTACCTGAGCATTTAAAATCGGTGTCCTTAAGTTCAACGACGCTGTGTCCCTTTAGATGCGTGGGTGAGTGACATCTAGTGTACTGCGCTAATCGGGGTGAATGACGCAGGTACCGTGCCAACCAAGACAGTTGACAGTCACAGTGGAAGAGGTTGTCGTTCAGTCTGAGCGTGCGCAGTCGGAACAGGTTACCGAACGTTTCTTTGCCCAGGAAGGTCAAATTGTTGTTGTTCAACGTTCTGTAAATAAGGAAAAGTCACTTTAGCGTTGTCTTTATGACTTTCATTATTTATACAAGGTGGCGAAATTTCTGGATAGGAAAGTGCATTCCAAAAAAATAACATAACATGATTCTTTTAAATATTAGTCCAGGAAGTATCTATGTATCTAGTCAGAAAAACATTTTGATCCGATTTTTTTGCATAACTACATTCTCCTTTTGAGGAATATACATATCATCAGGCCCGAAACTGCGCCAAAAATTGTATAAACATTTGTCTAAGAGCATTCTCTTTTTTTTAATTTTGAACAAAGTTTTTTCCATTCTGAACAAAAAAGTGCCAAATCTGCCATTTGCGACCCCGCGTATCAAAATGTTGCTATTGAGCGCGCACTTGACTACTCGTAACAATTAAAGATGAGGGTTCACAATACCAGTAATATAAAATATTATTAACGGATGTTTGAAAAATATTTTGGAACTTTATAACATTAAAATTTTGGTTTCTTCATATAGTGTTTCGGGGACGATAATGGAACATTTCGCACTTTTTCAAATATTAAATCGCTTATATCGCTTATATCAACTGCAGAAGCTATAACTATACACGTTCATAAGAACTTTTTTTGGTCAGAATAAAAAAAATGCTCGGAGCAAAATATCAATTCTTAGAGTTTGTTTAAAATATTGTCAAAACACCGGCAGTATCGTTAAAAGAAGTCTTCCGAGCAGATGAGGATATACAGGGTGTTCATTTGAAAACTTACTTAAACCACGAATTTATCGGAAACCACTGATTAAAAGAAAAAACGCCGAGACACGTCAACAGATTTGTTAAAGGGGACAACTTTTTAATCAAAAACTACTTCATCTACGTCCACACTCTGTCCCCCAGGGTCATCCCCTTAAAATTTTTAAATGATAAGGGGTATCGAGTAATAGATTGTTTGAAAGGTCTTTCAAAGTCCTTTATTTTGTCGTTTCATCCTTCAAAATCGGTCGATTCGTTTTCAAAAAAATTAGAAAAATCTTTATTTGAATTTAATTGGTTCAGATAGAAAACATGTTGTGGAATATCATGATGCGTTGATGACGTTCATCCAAACTTTGAGGTTGGGGAGTAAACACAATAGATTTCAAATGGCCCCATAGGAAAAAGTCTAACGGCATCAAATCATGAGATCTAGCAGGCCATTCTATAGGTTCGCTTCGTCCTATCCATTTATCTGTAAACTCGTCGTCTAGCCATTGCCGAACCGGAAGAACATTATGAGGAGGAGCAGCGTCTTGCTGGAAATATATTTCAGCCTCATCAAGTATAGGGTTTCTATCCTCTTCGATTTGGTTTTCAATGGTTTCAGTGATAAGCGGGTTGATGGTATTTTGGTTTTCCAACATATTCAAAGAAATGTTGCCATCCAAATTTCCATTAATAAACAATGACCAAATCACTATGTTTCCTAAAATGCCTGCCCATACATTAATTTTTTGGGGGTACTGGGTATGCCCCTCTACAAAAGCATAAGAATTTTCATTGCTACAAAATGTGCATTCATCACTGAAACAGATATTCTTTACATGAATGGCATTATCATTAATCGCTGCAGACAATTCAACTCGCCTATCGAAATAATCGTCGATTAACTCTTGCAACATTTTCATTTTGAATGGATGAAATTTATGGAGTTTAGTAACTGTGTGTACAGAGCCTGATGAAATTCCAGTCGCAGCAACAATTAGTATTAGGATTTATTCCAAAATGACCCAAAACATCAACTTGAGCGGCTTCTTCCAAAACTCTCCGATGATCACGTTTTTTATTTGCAACAGATCCAGTTTGAGTAAATTTAGTAACAATGTGCGAAGTTATCTTCCCCGGATGTCTGGCCTTAAACGTGACGACAGTTTGACGAGCACATTGATTTTGGGCACCATTAATTAGAATCATTTCCACTCTTTCGGCTAGTATGTAAACTATTTTAGAAGTAAAATCTGAATCAATAAATTAATTTTCACTATCCCAGTATTGCCACAAAAGGTAGCTGACAAAAAATTAAATTCTTTCTTTCCCTTAGCAACAAATAACTAAACAGGTATAACAATAAATACAACTGGTCTAGTATATCTATGTTGATGAAAAGAATGCGGAAAAAATTCGAGTTGTTATTTGGTTGGTGCCACGTCTAATCTTCCGAACTGCTGTTTATGTTGGTAGTTTCCGTTTTAAATTATAAACGAATTGTAGATTTGGCAAACCCTAACGGTCAACATTTTGAACACTTATTGAAATAGAAAGTGATATTTTCGTGTGTTCTTATTTTCTATATGAACAAATTAAGATAAATAGAGATTTTCCTAATTTTCTCGAAAACGAATCGACTGATTTTGAAAAATCAAACATCAAAATAAGACTTCGAAAGACCTTTCAAACAAGCTATTACTCGGTACACCTTGTCATTTAAAATTTTCAAGCGAATGACCCTGGGTGGCCCATAAGCCGAACCTACGTGATGTGACGTCACGACCAAACTTAATATTATTGTGAAACGCGTACGTGTAAACGTGTTTATCTCAGCAGGCATCCTCTTTGTTTGCTAATTCTCCTGAACTATCACGCTACCCTCGCCCACCCTTTCGCGAATCGGAAGGGTGCAACAGGTCCTTCAGCATCGCTCCTTGCATGGCACATCACGGTGCAGGGTTCGCGTACTAGGAACTTTGCTTTACGCTCGTCTGCCAACGTTGCTGCAGCTCTGTATCTACTTCATTATTAAGTTTACTGCAATCTGGAGTCGGCAAAGGAGGCATTATAGAATGCGATACCAGGATAAATTGGAAGGTTTTTTCTTTGTAACGCAATTAGGTTTAATGGAACATGCGAAGCACTACGGCTTATTTAGTTATAGATGCGTGTATCGAGGAGGAGATGTCATTCCGAACGATGGCTTTTTGAGGGATCAATAGATGAGGGAAGGTGCAATTGCGAGAGATCTTCAAAAATGTTCATATAGTAATGTCCAATATTTTCTCCAAGGAAACTATCAGGTAATCAAATAAGTTCGTGCGGTTGCTGTATATCGCACATTGCCATGGATGTTGTTGTTGTCACTTTAGTATGAATCCTTCTTTTCTCACACATAAAAAGTTGCTGAAAATTGTTGAACGAGGATCAGGTTGTGGACATAAATTCCAGGACAACGTGCCAAGAACTTGCAGAAATGTTCAGAATGAGTCCTGAAACGATTCGTTTGCATCTTCATCAGCTAGGAAAGACGTGGAAGTTAAGCAAATGGGTCCCACATGAACTGACAAATGATAACAAATTAAGTCGTCTTACCATTTGTTTAGCGAACATTTCACGCAACGCTAATGAACCATTTCTTAATCGGTTATTAACCTGCGACGAAAAATGGATCTTGTATTCGAATTCTAAGAGTTCGTATCATTGGCTGTCGCCTACTGATTCGGTACCACACACGCCCAAGGATGCCTTGCTCCCAAACAAGGTTTTGTTGTGTGTTTGGTGGACAGCAACTGGAATTGTACACTATGAGTTGTTGGAAAAGGGTCAAATCATCACGGCTAATTTGTATTGTAAGCAGTTTCAACGAGTACAAGCAGCACTAATTCAGAAACAGCCTTCTTTGATCAATAGGAAGAGGGTGATATTCTTGTAGGATAACGCCAAGCCTCATACCGCAAAAGTAATTCGAGAAAAAATTTCTGAACTCGGCTGGGAAACGTTACCGCACCCTCCGTATTCTCCGAACATTTCGACCAGTAATTAACACCTTTTTCTGTCACAAAAGACCGTGGCTCGCATTGTGATCAAAATTAATTCGTGAACTTAGAACAACCAAAATTGCAGCATTTTGACAAAATCCTTAGAAAAAATCGAATATTTTTAGACCATATCAAAATCTGTGAAGTGATTTTCACAATGCCTAAACGCTGCCTATGCTAAACGATTCTCTTCTTCCCCTTTGCTCTCCTTCTTCCTTCACTCCTTTCCTTCCCTTTTTTCCTTAAAATTGTTTTGTTTCTGGGTTACGGACCTAACAGACATACAAACTGACACTGTGACTCAAGAGCTAAGGTCCCACGGACCGCTCTGACAACCAACGATGACTTGACTTGACTGACCTTTTTTTGTCTCTTGACAACTGTATGAGACACCGACAGTTCACAACTCGAGATGGTGTAATAAATGCAGTCCGCCAATTTTTTTACTCCAAATCCAGGGAGTTCTACAATTCCGGCATACAAAAATTGGTTCCACGTTGGCAAAAGGTCATTGAATGTGATGGACGAATAAAAAATGTCTTATTGTTTCTCAATAAAAATTTATATTTTTCTACTAAAAACCGCACGAACTTATTTGGTTACCCGATATATTATTTCAAATTTTGAAAAAATCTATTTACTTCCTACGCTACTGGATAGAAAGTAATATGATCGCAAAAAAATTCTAAAATGAGATGTAACGTTTGTTGTTACCTGCGACTTCGTACGCCTTAAATTGTTACTAACACGTCACATTATTTTTGAGAATTACTATAATTGCATTGCATTAGTAAATTAACAGTCAACTTGCATGCTTGGGAAATTTGGTCATTTTATTAATGGATCTACCTATAAGCTGCGGGGATAACACGCTGGGCTGAAGGCTTACAAATTAGAATATAACTTAGCTGATATGTTTTATACATAAACTACCTCTTTGCGAAATTTATTGGTCATAGGTTAAAAGTGGCTAATTTGTGATGGTTTCTACCCATAACCCTTTTTGACCCAACCCTGTCGCAAAATTAGTTCTCATCTGACACTTCCTGTCCATAAACTGCCTGCCAAATTCTAAGTTCATTGGTCAAATAGTGTTCGAAATAATTTCTATAAACTTGCAAGGTGACAGATTCCTATAGAAATGTTCAACCCCGTCCTACCCCATCTTGAGGATATAATTCCTGAAAATCTTTGTTAAAATTTATCAAAATCGGTTCAATTCTTTTGGCGTGGAAACTGAATATGCAATTACACATACTCAGTTTCATATCACGAAAGACCGTGTCAGTCCGTTTGACTGTCGGTCTGTCCATTGATCCTTGACCCCTCTATAAGAATCTTGGTGAAATTTTGACAAAAGATTGCTACAATGCCAAGGACGAAAAAGCTTTGTAGTTTTTCGAAAATAGCTCCAGTGTCGGAGGAGCTGATGACAAATTGGGGATTGGAGGTTGTAGGCGATGGGGAAGGGTATATCTCAATTTTTTGGCTTCCAACCTCAGTAATTCTACACACCTATTAGACATATTTCATAGTTCCTCCTATATTTACCCTTAAACATTTGATGGAGAAATATTTTCACGTTGTTTCTGTAACTGATTCTATTCAATTTCTCAAGTCACGCATCTCGATAGATAAAGTAACAATTATATCTTTATACTTACAGTATTTCTAGATCCTTCAGATGGCGGAATGCTGCTTCATCTACGCATGTGATTTGATTATTGTCCAGTTGTCTGAAAAAAAGATATTTGATTAAGAAGTTTGAATATTTAAGCGATATTTCATTTTTTGCTCTAGCTGACCATTATTATTTAAATCATAATACATCGTGTACCTCGTACTCAGTTTTCAATATACAAACTTCTTTTGAAAACTGACTTTATGTAAAAACTGGAACCTTCTAGCCTCCTTTATTAAATTTACTGAAGATCAATAAATACAGACGAGGCACCAAAAATTTTAAATCATTAAGAAAAACGATTTGTTTAAAACCTCAATATTCTATGGCAAGCTAGATCGCCAGATTTTAAACTTGTTAAATTGTTCCCTTTAGCCTTTATTGACGTATTTCTCGTATTCGACATGATCAATTTTTTTTTGAGTTACGTCACGCAAAAATTTAGCAAATTTCTACATTAACAGCCTAATAATTTTCACGGAAAATCGGCATTACATAACTCGACTCAATGAATCCCCTTGGCCAGATATTTTATTAACACCATGTAATACAGGTTGACCCGCAGTACACGAGCAGCTTCAAGGTTTTCTGATGAGCATAAATAGAATTCTTAGATAAAACTACAACAAAAGCCTGATCTGTTAGGTGGAAAATATGCTTCAGTTTGATACCAATAAAATGGACCGTTTTTTGTCATTTCTATATTTTTCAGAAATGGCGCATTTATCGATGTTGCGCAAGAATTCAGTTTTATAGGCTGATGGATCAGGCTTTACAAAAACACTTAACATTGTATTCTAGTTAACCCCATCATACCCCAAAACAATTGTCAATAAGAACATTTTTTTGTACGAACTTCTTACATTATTTTTTTAATCTAAAAGCCGAGAAAATGTCCACATATTTTACTACTCTAAGAGTACGATACACCAACGTACTATACATTACTATATACTATGCAGGGTGGCGAATCGAAAATGAAACAGACGCATTTACTGGCAGCTCAGTTTTTTTTTAAAAAACGCTCAGACCGGTCGTTTTTGTTTTCGAGGGGGACACAAGTTTGGCAAAAAATCACGTTAGCACGTGCAGCCCCCTAAGCGGGGGTGACACCACCCCCAAAATCTTAAATGGAAAGGGGGGTCGAGTGATACCTTATTTTAAAGGTCTTTCAATTCCCTTTATAACGATATAAAACTATGTACTTCAGTTCAGTAGTTTTGAAGATTTATTGATTTAAAGCTTAAATAAAACTAATACATCATCATTAGTGGAGATCAATAAATTTGGCAGCAAAGTAATTTAAAAATGAAGAATGAACTGACCCGTTAGGCAAGTAAATGTTGAAAATGGCCACCATGACTCTCCATGCAATAATGAAGATTTTGCTCAAAACGTACATTTTGCAATATTTGAGAAGTAATTTGAAGGCACTCATTCACAATTCTTTGTCGCAGGTCTTCTAAGGATGTTGGCTGAGTAGCATAGATTTTGCTTTTTAAATGACCCGACATAAAGAAATCCAAAGGTGATAAATCTGGCGATCTTGGAGGCCATTCAATGGCACCTCTTCTACCAATCCATCGATCTGGAAACGTCTGATCAAAATATTGTCGAACACGTAATGCGTAATGTGGTGGGGCACCATCCTGTTGGAACATCAACCTATTCGCAATATACCGCCGATCATTCTGATTTTCAATTATGGCTGTTAATGCAGGATCTATGGCGTCTTCCAGTAATTCCAAATACATTTCACCGGTCAAATTTCCAGGTAAGAAAAAAGGACCAACTAAATGATCGCCAAAAATACCAGCCCAAACATTTAATTTTTCTGGCTGCTGTGTATGAACCTCATGATAAATTCTGGGATTAGAATCGGACCAATATCGGCAGTTATGACGATTTAATACGCCATTTAGGAAAAAGGAACATTCGTCGGAAAAGCAAGTGTTGAATAGAAAATGTTCATCGTTTATAATTCGTTCACTCATATTTTCACAAAATTGTAATCGCAGATCAAAATTGTTTTCATTAAGTTCTTGTACCAGGTGAATTTTATACGGATGAAAACTATGGGCCTTTAGAATCCCTTGTACAGTACGTCGACTAACACCACACACAGTCTCCAATTTGTGGGTACTTAACGTAGGATCTACATAAACTTGCCCTAAAACCCCCACCCCTATTGCTTCGTTCCTTATGGGATTTTCAATGTTGCGTTTTTTATTGGCGACTGACCCAGTTTCCCGAAATTTAGCTACAAGTTCTAGAACATATTTTCGATGCACGTTACTGTTCTCATGTCATTCATTAAATATTTCTGCTGTTCTATTAGCGCACTGATTATTTCCGAAAAATATTTCGTTACTTTCAACTCTTTCTGCTGTGGAATATGCCATGGTTAATTTATGTAATAAAGCGTTCCAAGTTATTTTAGCAACAAAGTTTGGTCAAATCAATCGCAAACTATGTACTAAATTCCTATTTAAAATAAGTACGAGATATTTCCTTATGTTTCTTCAAGAAATAACTTTTTGTCACAAAAAAACGCTCCAATAGCTATTTTCAACAACAAAATGATAAACAAACCATGGGCGTAGTGAAGAAAAGCATTTCCTTATTAAGTAAATTCTTTTAGTCAAATTTCTTTTGAAAGTAGTACAAACTAATCTGATGTACCTATTAAAGTCTACTTTAAGCTTTAAATCAATAAATCTTCAAAACTACTGAACTGCAGCTCATGTATTTATCATCATTATAAAGGGATTTGAAAGGCCTTTAAAATAAGGTATCACTCGACGCCCCTTTCCATTTAAGATTTTAGGGGGCTGCACGTGTTAACGTGACTTTTTGTCAAACTTGTGTCCCCCTCGAAAGCAAAATCGACGGGTCTGAGCGTTTTTCAAAAAAAAACTGAGCTGTCAGTAATTGCGTCTGTTTCCTTTTCGATGCGCCACCATGTACATTATATAATAACAAACACGTTAAGTTCCTATGAATAACGTACACTCTTTTTCCATTCATTCGCAGCATTAACAATTGATTGAGTAGTTACAATACTTACAAAGTTTTCAGAGACGACACACCTTTCAAAGTCTTCCTACCAATCACCGAGACTAGATTATGGCTGAGGTCCCTAAAAAGGAAAAAAATGCAAATGTCACCAAATTGTGGCTCCAACGTGTCGTTATTCAGCGTCCCATTTACCAAACCAGCAGATAAATGAGGCAAATTAACATGGCAGAAGTGGGGGCCGTTTTCGGTTAAATAGCCTTTTTAAGGTGCATATTAAGCGTGGAACATTTACATAAACCATACCAAAGCGAGTACGAATATGCATGATATCCCTCGCCTCGAGTGTAGGTTTGGTTGGTTATTTAGTAGCATGTCAGGTGATTATGCGCGGTTGCAGGTTAATAACAGTTGATTGTTTGGCGCCTTGTTCTACGAGGTATAAGCAGAAAGTGAGGTACAACATGAAACATTCAGTTTTTACTAATATCTATCGCGTATAACATGAACGAATATATGAATGAAATAAGATGTTTTTTACTCATTTAGCCACCACCATCATCAACACGTGATGTTATTATTTGTATAAGATTCGACTTATCATGAGCCACTGCTCATATTTCCACAAAACTTACTTTTTTGAGGAGTTTCCAATACAATAGAGACGACGTTGAAATGGAATAAAACAAGTTGTGTGTGAGGTATCAACAAACATGTATGCCATTTTATATGAAATACAACATCGGTAAAAGATTTGCCGCTGCACTGATCCCAGAAGTCCAATTTCTTTAGGAATCTGCCACGCAGAAAATTCAGCTGTCTTTGAATTGCTTGATTACGCTGAGTGGATAGCGATTTTTGGCAAAGTCCTGCTACTTGAGATAACATGCTTAATGTCGTCCACGTTTATATCATTCAAACATTGATTATAACACAGCCCAAGAAAATGAAATACACTTTTGATACCTGTGAATTTAAATATTGTCGATGAGCTAGTTTTAAAAAGCCTTTCATTTTGTCGTAGCGGTCTACGTAAGTTTTCGAGTTATAGGCGATAAAGTATTTAATAAAGTACAAAATGTGCCACTCACGACCCTGAAAAACAATATGAAAAAACGAAAATTTTAATGTCGCCAAAGTTTCTAAATATCCTTCAGACTCCCATTGATAAAATTTCAAACCATTTTTGGGGGTATTGTTATTGTAAAATTGTTTTTAATTGCTTTTAGTTGATTTACCATGCCAATTATGTTCGTTACATGGTGAATTATCTTACATCTTAAAGTGGCAGGACATACGAGTATTTCAAGGTGTAAACTCATTAATCATTTAATAAGCATCATCGACATGATAAGTCAATCATATATAATGAAAAAACAAATGTTTATAATAACAATACCCCCTAAATTGCTTTAGCAGTTAATGAGCGTTTCAAGGATATTTCGGAACTTTGGCAACATCAAAATCAGCAGCTACGATTACAAAAAAATTAAGACATTTTTGATATCCGCGCATCAGCAATTTTGAAGGTCAGCACCAAAATGAACTGCAATAATTGATCTGTGGAGCTTGTCGCTGACGGTGATCGTCTCATTAATACTATTTTTGAAAAAGTACATCGCTCAAGTTCTGCCGTATCTATGCGGCAGAGTTATTGAGCTCACATTCCACACTCAAAAAAACAAAAAAAAATTTGATATCTCTCGCACAGTTTGTTTCGTTCTCGTTCTTATTGGGAAACACTTAGGTACACATATTTTTACGTTAAATGAGCCAGACATGGATGAACGATGAGACACAAAAATGTCAGAAATGAAACAGTAAAGAGATAAAGTAAGACAGTGCGATAAGGTTAAAGTTATTACAGCAAGCTTGAGTTATTACAGAACCTACTAAACAGTATCAAGCAAGGCGATTATTAAGTTATAAGGCCGCCAGAAATACTGTAATTATGAATGTGGAAATTTTTGAGAAGTTGTTCAAAGTGTTAAGATCAGAAGTTAAAGATTTAATACATTTTTTCTCATACAAAACATCAACATTATTTTTTATTGAAATGCATATATGTTTGTAACTAAAAAAATATATTTGAAAAGGAATCGTTAAGGATACAATAAAATAACGTGGAACTAATGGAATCACAATTGAATTATAGAACTTATACACCAATAGTCGACTGTTCGATTCATTGGAAAACTTTATGGACATAAACGTCTAGAATAAGGCTCACTATATTGTGAATATCCCAAAATAATGAAAAAATGAGCATCTTAGGAAAAATGGGTGCAAATCAATAGCTGAACAGATACTCAGTATTACTTAGTAAAATAAGTCCGTGGACACCTTGCTAAGCCCCCTCCTGGGCCGTTTTCTGCGTACGCACATTACGGGGGGAAAATTTAAACAATCGTGGAATTGCAATAATTAGTTCAATAAAGTATTGTAAGCTTACTGTACTAACTTAGTGAAGAAGGAATACTACAAAGAGACCCTTGCACCGAGGAAGAACACATATGTAACTACATGTTAGATCGATTTTGTTCATAAATGGATACATAAACAAATAGACGGAAAAGTGCTTGAACAACTGAAAGTACAAACCGTCACCCAAAAGCAAAACGATAGCGAAAGAACGACAACAAATTACTTACAAACGGAACAAATTAGGCACTGTGGAAAATAAATTCTCCGGGATGTGTCGTATACTGTTGCCGTTGAGACGTCTAGATGGGGGAAAAAGAAAGAGAACATTCGTTAAAAGGTTACACTCTGGCCGACTCTCTCCTACTCGTTAGTCTTACTTACAGTCTCTCTAAATTTATTAAATCCTGAAATGCCTCCCGTTCTATCGTATGTATCGCGTTGTTTGTCAGCTGCCTGCGAAAAGAGTCAAGCGTCACGGAACAACTTCTCTCGAGAATTGCAGTTCGGTTAATGGAGAGACGCTAGCCGGCCGAATATCAAAAGGAACTGAAAGGGCGCTAAGGAACATTGGGTTCAAATTTGTCAACTCAAAGACCCTTGCACGAGTCAGAAAAACATGTTTAGTGGTACATTTGGTTTCTGGTGCCGTGATTGGAACACTAAAAACTATTAGATAAGGGCAAATCAGTATCAGGGTAGTTACCCTATTGTCAAGGACGAGAAAACATTGTTTCCTAGAACGTGGTTCGAACGAGAAACCTTTTCACTTTCAAGGAAAAAGATTGCGATCCATGAATAATGGCGATTTATCAGGTTTGTAGTGAAAAAATAACTTTTTGAATTGTGTTTGTAGTATTTTTTTGCAACTATTACACCTAAAGACGGCACGAACACTATGGATGTAAGTCATTTACAAGACCGTTTGTACACTAATGTAACTTTTAATTAAATATGTACGGGTACTAAGATTACTCTAAGTACCTCCATTTGCTTCAGAGGAATGTAAGTCGAAGACGGACAAGTTTACACCAAGTTTTATGGAAACGAGGCACTTCCGCAGCTTTGTTTATATGATTTCTTTTGATACTTTCACATGCTGAATTTGCCCCCCAATTTTCCTGACAACATTTAGTGACACACTGTAGAATGAAAGGTAGAAGTTATACGGGAAATATTCGACTAGGGTATTTTGGAATTTTGTCATTCAGTTCAATTTGATATTTTGCGTGGCCATTTAATTTTAAGAGCACTAAGCAGCTAAATAATTTGTGTGTAGTGGAACACAACAATTCCATTATTTTTTAACAAAAAATGCAATTTATGGCACATAGCAAGTTTAAGCTGTGCTTAATTTTCAGGTTCAGGAATTTAGCTATGCACATTCACCACATTTTCAAATACATACCTCTCCCGCCATAATTAAGAATATGCTAGATTCCGAGAGTATTTTTTGTAATAATAGGACGTGAAAAAGTATTTCATATAACAGCTCTGTCCTTCCACTACACACCAAATACCATTTTTCTTCGAAACATATACCATAAATCTAAATAGGATCTGGAAAGACGATAGCAATATGTCTACACAGAAATATACTTACAGTATTTTCAGCTTGGCTAGATCCTGGAAATCTGTCTCGTATATAGTTGTGATGTTATTGCCTTGAAGGTCCCTGAAATGAAAGAAAACGGAAAGCTATTAACCTATTTTTTGTTTTCCTCTATGTGTGTTTTCGGAGTGGACCATAAATCTTACTTTCTATAATATGATTGGACGACTCTAAGGTCATTTGATTGAAAACACTCAAGCGTTGTTTGAGTTTTGAGATGACTGTTCTGAAACACAATGTTTTATTTCTGATCAACTTCGATTTTCATATAATGATCAGAAGCGAAAAAAGCTTAGTATAATTAATTCGCACAGTACAATGTAATAAAAAACAATAACAAACAGAAAAACGAGAAATAATAAATACTATGAATTATTAATAATGGCAATTATCTAAGGCCGATAATATTTGCATCCCAAGAGTAGGTTGAATTTTTGGTAAATGCCCTTGAAAGTTAGGAAGCTAACATAACTATCCAGCAGTACTTGAAATATTATTATTTTATTCGGAGTCTTTCATTAAGTTTTTCTGCAAAACAGAATAGAGGTAAAAAAGACAAACTCTCGCACCACTTCCGGAAAAAATCACAGCCGTCTATTTAGCAGCTAGCTGCAGGTGCGAGATAAGTTTAAAATCACATGTTTTTAAAAATTAACAACAGTAGAAATATCTCCTGAACTATTGAGTATTGAACACATATAGGGTTTAATCCTATAGGAATTGTGTTCATCTACCATATGATTCTTTGCTGGTCCACCCATAACTTTACGCCCACTATATGGCAAAATCTGGCTCCCAATTTGAACATAGTGTCATTAAGCGTCTACTCCCAATTTTACCATGATTTTTCAACATTTATTTATTTATTAATTTATAGGTAGATCTATAATTGCTTTGTCTTACCGTTTCCCAAATGTACAGCTGTTGGGACAGTCTATAATATTTGAACAAATTTTATATATATATATATATATATATATATATGGCGAGTTTCTGCAACCTAAGGTCGCTTCTCGCAAACCATACGCCATCGTATCCTATCGTTCCAGTCTCCTTCATGTAGTCCTCTACTTTCCATTGCGGTATGGATGTTTGAAATCCATTTCCTTCGTGGTCTTCCTCGTTTATTTCTTTGTGCTGGTGTCCATTTCCAAACCCTTAATGGTATCCTTTCTTCGTTCATTCGTTGCAGGTGTCCATACCATTTTAACTGCCTCTCTGTTATATCGTCCATTATTGTATTTTCGACTTCCATTCTTTCTCTGATGGTCTCATTTCTAACATGGTCAAGTAAAGTTAAACCGGAACATCTTCTCCAGTACATCATTTCGGTTGACAGAAGCTTTTGTGACATATTTTAATCTACAACCCAAGCTTCTGACCCATACGTCAGTACTGGCTGAATCAGAGCCTGATATATAATTTTTTTTGTTTTCTTTGTTAGGTTCTTACTCCACAAGATCGGATGTAGTGCTTTAATCATATTTTTTCCTTTTCCTATTTTCCTTAGTATGTCTTTATTATCCTTTCCGCTTTCATCTATTGTAACTCCTAGGTACTGGTACTGTCCGACGTTTTCTATTTTTCCGCTTTTTGTTTCGATGTCTTGTCCTGTGCCTCCTATAGTCATGTATTGTGTCTTTTGTATATTTATCTCCAAACCCCATTTAGTGAATTCTTCTATAAGTTTGTTTATCATGTAAGTCATGTCTTGCTGGTCTTCTGCAAAGACTACCTGATCATCTGCAAAGAGGACTGTATACAAGTGAAAGTCCTCTAACCATATCCCCATGGGGCTGCACTTTCTTATCCACTGTTTTAAAGCGCTGCAGAGATAAATTTTAAACAGGGTTGGAGAGAGGCAGGAGCCCTGCTTAACACCTTTTGTTTGTGGGAAAGCCTCAGAAATTTGATTTCCGACTTTAACGACCACTTGATTTTCTCTATACATTGCTTTTACGGCGTTTATGTATTTGCTATTTATGCCTGCTTCTTTCATTGCGATCCATAATTTCTGCAAAGGGACGGAGTCGAATGCCTTGCGGAGATCTATAAAAGTAGCGTGTAGCTCCATTCCTCTTGCTAATCTCTTTTCTGTCAGTTGTTTTATTGCAAATATGTTGTCGACACAGGATCGCCCAGTTCGAAATCCACTTTGTTCTTCAATTTCCGTGGCTTCGTCTTCTATTCGGGCTGTTAGGACTCTTTCGTACAGCTTTCCGATGGACGATGTAATACTAGTACCCCGATAATTACTACAGTCACTCCTGTTTCCCTTTTTATAAATGGAATTTTAACTTACGAAAATATAAAAATAGCTTGCTTTTGAGACCTCATTCAACCGACAACGCATTTAATACCCCATGAAAACGCAGCATATTATATTGTGTAATACATGTTACTGTAATAAATTTTAATAGCCATCTCTCAGAGTTTTGCGTATACACGTTGGTACTGAAAATGCGGATATAACGAATCTACAATTAAAATTAAATATAAATGCCGTTAATCGAGCGATTTAAATTTTTCAAATAGCGCTTGTACGAATAAAATTCGAGAATTTATAAAATGGAAACAATACCCGCATCAGGCGAGGGGATAATAATATCAATGGAATATATGAATACATTAACGCGTTTTTTGGGTTTTTTGCATCGTAAATTTCAGCACTAGGGTGAGTTAGCGTTCTTTTAAATTAGTATTTTTTTGCGAATGTATATGGTTTTTTGAGTGATGTGCGGAAATAGGTGTTTATTCGTATGGAAAAATGCATTTTTATACAGTTATTTACCGGACGCGTTGGCGATGATGGCTTTTTATATTCCATGAGCGGAAATTGGTATTCTGAAACATATATGTATGTGTGTAAATGACAATCCCGATTTAGACAAACAGAGACAAAGCGAGTTGATATAGTTGGTTAGACCATAACTATTATAAAAATAACTGTACTCCGTCATGTACAAATTTTGTATATAGTATTTAGATGCATTTAAAGCTATTGGTCACGTTTTTGTATGTCGTTTTCTGTGGTTGCGGATTGGATTTTGGTGATAGTCTGTAGTGGTGTATGCTAAGATGGTGCCATTATTAAGTTTTTTATACTTTATTAAAAAAAAAGCGGGAAAGTTCGACGTTGAAATGGCACAAAGAACGCGGTGTAGGAGGTGTTAAATCTTTTCTTTATGTGAAATCGGTTTATTGGCAAAGATATGTGACTTTCATGTGGATTTTGGGGCAGCGACGTGACTGGTCCTATTCCGCTGAGTATGACAGATCAGTGATAATTAAATTGTTTTGGTGTGCAGTGATGCAATAACTGACATCCTCCATCAATACGGGTCATTACGAATAAGCTGAAAGATTCCGATGCCCTATGATCTAAGCGGCAAATTCATTGATGATTTTATTTTATTCAGTTCTGATAACGACCCGTCTTTATTGAAGAACCTTTTATACTTAATGAATCTTTAATCTGTGATAAAGTGAAAATTGTTATTGGGAGGATTCAGCATAAAGTAATATGAAAGATCACGTCAGCAATTGGAACTTACCCCGTATAATATACAGCAACAATATTTATGTTTTCTAAATAAGATTTAGTAACTAAATGAAATAGAATAGATTTTCCAATTTAAAACTTCAGAATGATTTAAAGAAACTCTTATAATTCGGTTTCTGAACTGCGTAAGGTTAGTGGAAAAAGCCTCCTCATCTAGATTGTTGATTGATAGACTACAAAGTAGCTTTAAAGGCATAACCACAAAAAAATAAGCTGTCCAATGCGGAAGATAACTCTCGTCTTGCAAATGATGGAGATGGCATCTCGAGAAAAGAGAAGGATATAATTTCTAGAATCTCCTGTAGTTTTTCACGCTAAGCCTCATCGTGCATCATTGTGATAAAAAATTTCCTAGCATTTGCCCACCTGGCAACGTGATCCCGCCTTTATAGCAAGATAAACCTTCGAAATGTCTTCGTTTAAGTATGCGCGTACATTTTCTCAGATTTATCTACCTCATTAGATTTTCGCATTTTTCGCGATGTGGGTCAGAACCAGATCCACGGTTGCCAAGTGATTTTTTTAACGGTTTACAGAGCTTTTCAATTAGAATTTATTTAAAACACACAAAAATGCAGTGGATTCCAAAAATTTAATTTTATCTGCAAGTTTCGTTTATGATATTTATATTTCAAAACTTGGTAACTACAAATGCATATAACCTTAATTTAAAAAAAAATGATGATTAACCGACATATCCTCACTCTTGGTTATGCACACTACATTTCGCTACCTCTTAAAAGAAACTAAAAATGGAGAAATGATCAAAGACTGATAGTTTACAATATTATAAAAAATAGGACGTTGCTAATCAAAAAAATGTTAAAATTTTCTTCCCTAAGTTCTCATTTACTCAATTTCATCAAAATCAATGATTATGTGCATTTTATGTGTCCAAAAACAGAAAATACGTATAATAGTGATGTAACGAATATTAGTTTTTAACTATTTGCGAATACGAATTTTCCTTTTTTATACGCCATATCAACACACACTTTAAGGAGAAAAGGCTGTGAGGTATTTTTTGAGGTTTAATATACCACTAGTTCCAGGAAGTCGCTATTTATTTGTTGTTAAAAAAAAAGAAAAGCTTGTTACTCTGTTTAAAAACATTTTTTTCTACTAGGAGATTTAAAAAGAATTGCTTATTTTTATTTCTTATTTGCAACATACATCCAATCAAATTGTACAAAACAAAAAGTGAACATGTTTTTGTTTTTTTGAAGTCGTTATTTCATAATTGTTTTCTAATGAGATATATTTGATTATTCATAACACTATAGAAATTTATATGAAGAATATAGGTTTTGCTTTTATATTAGAACATGCTGACTTTACTTGAGATGGGATTCCAAATTAAATTGCATGTTAATAATGCCACCTCTTATCTACAAAATGGCATAATTAGAATTGCAAGATGAAGTTTCGTCTCTTGACCTCAAGCATTAACTTCATTTTTTCTTATTGCATTTTTGATGCAGATAAATGCAGTATATAATTC